TAATATTTTAAACAATGATATCATAAAAAAGATGCTAGATTTAAATAGTTATACTAATTACTAAGTACTAACCTTTGAATTGAACATCTCTCTCAAACCTTGCTTTTGCCTTGTTATTTTTTCTAACTGTATGAAATGAGTGGCAAATCGGATAAGAGCAGGACGAAGTATTTGCTTCCCTTGTGTATATTTTTTCATCAAGTTAATAGTCTAAATGTGATTGTATATAAAACAAGTCACTTTTTTTGCATCCTCCAAAACTTTTGCCACATTTTTTTCTTACCAATATCTTCAAGGCACAAGTCCAAACAATGAGTTGAACATGCTGTCCAATACAAATGATGTATCTTCTTCATTAGTCTTTTTCTTACAACCTTAAGTGCTGTCTCATTATCAGTGACTATTTGAACAATTTATTTTTTCTTAATTTATTCCACAACTTCATCTAATAATATGTAGTAAAAATTTGTATCTCTACTATGAACATTTGAGACATCTATAGATTTTCAAAAAATGATCCCTTTACTATAATAAACAAAAAATTAATGATATGCATTTAGTTCAAACTATTGGTCCAACCATCACACATCAAAGTGGCACCCAATTTATTTCAATGAGCTTTTAATCCATTAATTCATTCATGAATTTGTTGATACTTAAACTCTAAATACATATCTGAAACCTCATAAGGTGTTGAAAATTTCACATATTGATCAATTTTTGCTGCCACAGAAATCAAATTATGCAACCATGGAGAGTTTGCTAATTGAAAAGGAAGTTGATCATATATAAAAAATTTTGATACCGATTCACCTATCTTCCTTCTTAATATCTTTAAAAATAAATCGTTTATTTTTTGTTGCTTTGAACTCTTACTTCTAACTAATTCAGGTATAGCCCCTCTTAATGAAAATTCAAACTTACTTGAAGTTGATTTCCTTGTTTTTTTCTCAAAATATTCAGCAACTGAGCCATGAGAGCTTCGTCCCTCTTCATGTATATTACTTCAACCACCAATTCTTTGTCTGAATTCTTGTCTTTGGTGCCACCACTCATATTATGATTGGATACTATCTCGCATAGCTTGTCTAATAGCGATATTTTCATCAATAAAACCTTCATAGTCATAGTATTCCCCTCTTAATTGTGATAAGAATTCATCATTTCTCCTTTTGTTTTCAACTTTCTTTGATTTGCTTTTTTAAAGAAGTTTCATCATACTTTCTCTTACTAAACCTATTAATAATATAGTTAAGAAAAAAAAAATTAATTGTACATGTTTATGTAATTTTGTAATTTTTATTAAAAAATTAACAATAATATTTTCAAATGAATTATAAAAAAATAACATACCAGTAACATTGGGGCATGGTGTAACATTGTCAGTTTTATTAGCAATGTATTAATTGAAACGTATTATTCTTCTTTTTACAACTTTACCACAAAGTTTGCATAAAATATTTCCTTTGATATTTGGCACGGGTGTTCCAAAATGCCAACCTATATCATCATTTGGTGTGATCTCTACTCCTTTGCTTGGGAACTCTTCACGTAATGACATATTTACTATTTTGTATAAAAACAAAATAAATTTATATTTAAAAATATTAATATTACTTATTTTATCATTAAAAATTGAATCTACATTAAATTTTTTAATTTTTAGTTTTAATCTTAAAAGGAATAGATCGTAAAATGCTAAATTTATTAAGTAATTTAATTTTTTTGATATACTAATTGATGTAAAAAATTTTTTATCACAATTTACTTTCAATATATTATATAATAAATAGAATATTCAATAATTACACAAAAATAAAAATAAATTAATAAGAATTAATTTAATAACAAAAGAATTGACAACAATATAAATACCAAAACAACAAAAAAATTATTAAATTTTAAATATAAAATATAAAATTTTAAATTAATAAATAAAAAAATAAAAATAAAATATTTAATTTTAATTATTTTTCATCTAATTTATACAAAAAAATTATTAAAATTTTTCATCTAAAATCCATATATATTTCATATTAAATTATTAATTTCTTAATTTTTTCAATTATAAAATCTCAATCATCTAACTAAATTTTATCAAAAAATATTTTAAAAATTACAAAATTTTAAATTTAAATTTTAATAAAATTAATTATAAAATTAAATAAAAAACACACACCCCATTCTACCTTCCAATGCACCCAACCTCACCCAATCTCACTCCACCCCTCCACCCTACCCTCAAATGCACCCTACCTCACCCAATCTCACCCCACCTCTCCACCTTACCCTCCAAAGCCCACCCCACCCAATCTCACGTCCTACCCCACCCCTCACCCTTTACCCAATCTCAAAAATTAAGAAACCGCCCCCTTCCCCCGATTCTCATTCCGCCCCAAATTCTTCTTTGCTCCTTTTATTTTTTGATGGCATCAACGATGAATCTCTCGAATAAACTCAACCAAACTTTTTATTTTTTTTTTATCTCTCTTTCTTACATACCTTCATCTCTCTCAGCATATTAGCATATTAGATTATCACAAATACAAATATTAATATTATTTTACAAAAATTTCACAAAAAAATAGGTAATTTAATTTTTTTTATTTTAATTATTAATAAAAGATTTGAAGTTAATTTAAATTTAAGTAATTATCGATTGAATGATTGATAATATCTAAAATTTTTTAAATGAATTTTGAATATGAGAAAAAAGAGAACGAGATTAAGTTATGGGTGTTGGATAGTGATTTTTTTTCTTTTGGCTTTTGTTTTTATTTTTGCTTTTGTAATTTTTTTGTTTTATTCTAATTGTAAAAAATCTTGACTGTTGAAATCTAAAAATTTTTTTTATTATTATTATAATTTATGGAGTATAGACGAAGAAAATGAGATAGCATTAATAACATATCGTTATTGCAATTATTCTCGTTACGTCATTTTTTAGAGGTTATTATATATCGTTTTGATCGTGATTAAATTTTTTAATCTTTTTTTTTTTATAACGATAACGGACAACAACATTACCGTTATTTCGTGATTGTTATTCCGTTATAATACCGTTATTTGAATCCCTGCCTTAACCCCTTTAATCAAAGCTTCCAATCTCTCAATCACCTCATTTTCTCTTAAGCACCCACCATTACCATCCCACACTTCTTCGTCATTCTCGTATGAAACACTTTGCGACTCGTTCAATATTAAGATTTCCAAATTGAAATTCTCTCTCCCGTTTGAAGACGGATAAACAACTTCTGCCTAATATTTCCAATGGATCCCTTGTGCTCATCATTGCGAGGATAAGCTCCCTTGTCAGCTTCATCCTCGGATCCTGAAATACTCGAAACCTCATAGTCTTTGAAAGAATCCGCAGTCAACTCATCAAAATCTTCTTCCTTTTCAATATCCTTTCCAGCAATGCTTAATTTTACCTATATAATCGAATGAAACGAAATTCTGAATTGTTCTCTATTGGCAATTAGGTAAATTAATAACTAATTTTTTAAATTCCTATGTTAATTTCATTGGCTAGCATAAAAAAAAAAAGACAATCTTCTTTTAAGAACGTAAAATAAATCAAATTTAAAAGAAAAAAGGCGAAATATTTACGTTAAAACGATGAATGTCGGATTTGAAGTAGAAGCGCTGGTCCTGGAGAGAGTCAAACTCAGCTTTGCAGGTGTTGCAAGTCCATCTAGGCACAACGACGCCGTTTTTGGAACTCTTTTCTTCCCTGTCGTCGGTGTTGTTTTGTTTTTCAGGAGAATAATTCTCAGATATTGAGAGAGGCTCCAAGACTGAAGTTAAAGAAGGAGAAAGTAAGCGACACGAATCGAAGAAGTCGGCTGGGAGGTCGAATATCGAACGCTGTCATTTTTCGTTTGAACTCGTGAAGGCAGAGACAAAGGGGAGAGGCTCGGTCGCCATAGTTGCGGACTTTGTTCCGGTTCAGTTCAGGATTTTCAAGCTGCAGTTTTGTTTAATATAGTTCGCCGATTGATATACTCTAAGATTTTGGGCCGATCGGTCCAATCAAAAGGAGTTTTTATTTGGGCTTGAGCCCATGGGTTTGCTTCAGTCTTCAGCAAAACGATGGCAGCCCTTCAATTGTAAATGAATTTTTTTTTTCAATTTCGTCCACCTAAATATTCTCTGACTTCTTATAAATTTATTCATCGATAGTACTATAGTATGAGATTTTGAAATTGTTCATGGATTATTAGGTCACCGACAAAATGGAATGGAGATTTTGGAGGGGTGGCTGCCATCATTGTTCATACTGAATTATTTGTCAACTGTTAAATCGGAAAAAAAAAAAAAACCCGAGGAGAGAGAGAGGAAGGAACATCAAAGCACGTGCCATGGATCTTTTAAACTTCTTTTTCCTCCTGATAATGACTTCCTGGTAAACGTTTGACCTGGAGATAAATAATACTGTGCTGCTAAAATTAAGCATAACAGACAAACATGTCTCCGTGGTAAAGGTCTTTTATTCAACGTGTTATAGCATTATTATGTTTATCGTATTGCCATAAGACCAGCAGCAGTAAGCTCCGTTTGAAGCCCAATTGAGTGGCTGTCACTACCATACACATCACACATGAAGCAGCCTGCCCTACCAATGTGCTGTTAAAATCCCATTTTGGCCACCAAGTTTTTTTTTTATTAATTCTTTTATTAAATTTCGAATAAGGACAACGAGACTTTTACCAAGTGTAACGTGGCAATGACATTAGAAAAAGGTTATGCCATAAGTTGATGGTTATAGTACGATTTCATTAGAAATAAATTGGTAATTGGAGTTGGAGTATCAAATGCTTCTTATCGTTAAGGGACACCCAATATCTTTAGTGCTGGGAAGACTTTTATGGGGTAAGGATCATGCGGGCTATAACACTGATAAATGTTGGAGGAATTTAAATTATTAGATGAAAATAGAAGATCATGGCCGACTGGCAGTCCACACTGAACATGCAAGAATAAGAAGGCTCCCCATTTGCGTCCACAAGTACAGCACTTGTGCCTTGCAGTAACGACGCCCCCACAACATAAAATAAAAATGTTTTCCCAATTATAAAGCTACTACTTAATTTTGCCAGAAATAATATTGCTTTCCAGCTTGTGGCCTAATCTATTCGCCGCACAAAAAAAAAGGAACCTGGAAATATTAGTAACCATGGGGGACATGGACAACCAAAAAAGAAAACCAGATTTTTAAAATAAGTTCGGTCCCTACAGAAATGAAAAGTGGAGCCCATCACCACAGTCTTTCCACGTGCGCTAACTGACAATCCTGCCATCCATTCGCTTCCAGCCCACCGCCATCGCCCATCGTAGTACAATCTAATGTCTTCTTACAAGATTTAATCTAATCTAATCCAGCTAAGTTTTAGATTTGTGATAAATGGAAACCGATTATTCCAACAGCAAAATAAATAAAAAAATAAACAAACACTAAGAAAATGTAATTAACAAAAAAAAGAAAAAAAAAAAAACACCGTTCTTCCTCTTCACACCCAGATGCTGCCAAAGTCCGCAGCTAGCTCTCAAAATCTCACCTTCCGTCCTTGACCCGACCCGACCTCTTAAATTAAAATCCAAAATAAATTAAAAATAAAAAGCCCTCTCTAATAAAAACAACAATTCAAAAAAAAAAAAAACTAAAAAAGAACAAATTAACAGACCGGCATAATTACGATTCAGGACAAGAGAAATGACGACACGAAAATGGAAATGACAGCGAAAATAATAGTGCGCAACAACGGGGCACTCACGTGACCAGCAGTATTATCCGAGGTGCTGTTCTCTGAGGATCCAGCTGGCGAATCAGCCGGAGATCCGGCGGGAGTTTCAGTTGGTGGAGCTGGTGGTGAAGCGGCTAGTGGTGATGGTGCTTCGGACACTGGAGATGGACTTGGAGACACAGAGGGTGTCGGTGAAGGCGAAGAAACTGGCTCCGGAGCAGGTGCTGGCGACGGCGATTTGCCGAACAACTCGGAAGGAAGCAAGACGTTGTCAACCGTGAAAATGACGACTGGTGGAGAGTCAAAAACCGCCTCGGCGACTCTGGATGGGCCAACTCCGGTATGAAGCGTGACTGAGTCGCCGGCGGTCGTAACTGTCAGATCGAACTTTCCAGCACCGTTAGTCGCCAATGTTTTAATCGGATCTTTCGTCGTCTTCAATGTTCCCTTTGGTTTGTAATCTGGAGAGGCGTGATACTCTAGAAGCGAGACTTGATCGGCATTGGTGAGCTTGCTCAGATCAGGGACACCTTCGGCTTTAAAAGCTTCATCGGACGGCGCAAATATGGTCAAACCTTTATCAAGCGCTGACTCATAAGTCTTAAGCACTCCACTACTGATTAGCAAATTAGCAAAAGTCTTGCAGCCGGCTTTCTCGAGTAAACCGGTAATGTTGACGCCAGAAGCCGACGGGGCCGGAGCATTTAAGATTCCCGGAGCAATAATCGGAGCGCTGATCTCGATAATAGAGATATTGTAGGGAATCTGCTTAACGGACTTGGTGTAAGAGGAGTCGAGTTTGGAGCCAGGAATTGCGGAGCCAAAGCCAACTTTTCCACCTTGGAGATCGGTGATGTTGACAAACCCGAGGTTTCCAGGGGCATTTCCGGTGGTTTGATAAAGAGTGGTAGTGAGGGTGGTTCCTTTGGAGATTTGGTGGAGCTTTTGTGGGTCATAATAATCTAGAAGAATGTGAAGGCTAAGGATGTTTTTGACGACGGAAAGGGGGTGTTTGGCTGTAAGGGCAGACATAGCCCCATTGTTAAGGACAAGGCAAGTGATTGTTTCTCGGGTGTTGATTTCATCGGCCAGCTTTGTTTGGGAGAGGAAGCTGTTGTAAACAGAGTAATCTGGGAAACCTTCGAGAATGGCAGTTATATTGTGGGCATTGGCTGCAATAGCAACTAGAGAGAGCGAAAAAAGGAAGAGGTTGAGTCGGTGAAATGCGCCCATCGTGAACGTCGAAGAGATCGGCAGAGGTAACTCAGTGAAGAAGCAGAGTCTGAGATAATGCGTGGAAGAAGAGGAAGCGCTAAAAAAAGAGAAAGTTGGGAGGAGGGTTAGAATTTGAACCAGGGTTGAGTTAGACTACGGTTTAGTTAGTTGTTGTAGGGAATGGGGCCACGTGGGAGGGGTCAGGCATGCTTTGGCTACAGCTGGAAATGTAAAGGGGGTTCTGTTCTGTGGGTGAAATGCTTTCGTATTTTTTTTTTCCTCTTTTGGGAGGTGAATTGACAATAATGGACTTTGCCTTTTAGATTGAAGCTATCCGTTATAGTGGCGGTGATGATTGGTTTAAACGGGCTTTATAACGGCTATTAACCCAAAGGCTTGCAACGTCTCTTGGGTTGGCTTGATTACGCCTTACGCGTTGACGTTGATTCAACCCATGGTCAATTCTTAGTTGATTAACTTTGAAAGTTGATGCCTAAAACCTTATCTAAACATGGCCGAGTTTCGCGACCTGCGTCGTGTGAAGAATTCTAATGAAAACGGCTAGTATCAATATCAATTGGTTCTTACTTCTCATCTCGTGAAAATTGAGCAAATAAACGACTAACCATTCAAAACAATTTATCTATAAAATAAGAAATAATCATGTTATTGTTTATTCGTTCATTTAAGTAATTTCCTATTGAAAAAAAAAAAAAAACACTTAACTATGCTACTAGCTGAAGAAATTTAGACAATCCTTACTAAATGGTTATCTTTTTCTGTGATCCACGAAACTAGAGGAAAGGAGATGGTAGGGATCAATCTATGTCTTAAATGTCTTCTTAAAATTATAAGCCTTCTAAACGTTTGTATTTTCTATAATTTGGTGTGCAGTTTTCTTTTGTAGTAGGTTCCCTTTTTTTTTTAAATAATAAATTTCACATTTGTCTCAAAAAAAAATTTTTATGATTGTGAAGTAATGAACAATAATCTCAAAGGGTTTTACAAGAATTATCATAATTAAATCTTAAATCTATTATCACAACAATTTTGCGTTTTGATGGTAATAATTAAATAGTTTACCATATATATCATATATCAATTGGTGATAATAAATTTGTTTTAATTCAATTTTTGATTTTACATCGACATTTTTTATATATGTTGCTATCAAAATTAAAATTTTAATATATATTTTTTTTGTAATAATATTTTGATGATTTTGTTTTAAACTATGTTTCTTATAATGACAATGTCATATTAAAATTTATTGAATATGTCTTAACATAATTCACTGAATTTACTGTGATTTTGATGTTTGACTGTTTTTATAGTCGAGTTGGTTAAGTTGTTTTTGCGTTATTATTGGTTCAAATTATGTGTTTCTTTACATAAATTCCCATCGTATTAATTAAGTAATTGCTTAAAAACTCTAATGATTCATCCAAAGAATTGTCCTTTTATACAGCTAATACCCCACCCCAAGTCCCACATCCCCCCTCCCAATCTCAGATTCTCAAGCATCTAAATTCAAATCTTCCCTTTTTGGTCCTTTTTGTCTGGCCCTCAAATGTCCTACAAAATAAAAGTATAATATTTTTTCTGTACAAAAAAAAAAAAATGATTCAGCCTTTCTTCAACAATAATGCAAATCTTCATTGCTAAACTAAGCAGTAGAAAATGGTTTCTACTTGAGCATGGAGGCCAATTACGCTTGTGGCTTGGCATCAACAGCGTTATTCTAAAAAACGCCAGCTGTTCCCAATTGAAATTCTGTTAAAATAAAATAAAATAAACAGCATGACCTTTCTTTGCGACAATAATGCACTAATTTATGGGGGGGCATCTTTCCATGCCTCCGATTGAAGCAACACAAGCAAATCCTTTGTCAGCTGTAAAATATTCTTCATTCACAAGATTTAACCTTTTGACAAACCTAAAGCAGGGAGCATAAATTTCACATGGTGATGGCATCTGTCTCTATCGCATGAATGTCATTGACAAAAATAAAAACTATAAGAAAGAGGTTGAAAATAACAATGGGTTGGCCGGGTTTGTAATTGCAAAGGCAATTTACCTGTTATAGGAAGTAAGGAGAAAGGGTATGAAATATATATTTGGGTTGGACCATTGAATTTGATATAAGAAAGCTTAAATCGTCAGCAACAAAATTGTTTTGCATTGCATGTCACGTGACAAATGACAATGACCCCATTAAGATTTAAAAAAGGAAATTTCGAAGCGGAATTTTGTATTTTATCCATCTATAATGGTAGAGAGGGAAGGAGAGAAATACAGGGTAGATTTATCTGGGCCGAGCTATCACGGGGGATTCAGGATTGAACTTTCTCTTCTCAATCATTACTAGGCCGAACTTCAAATCTGGTTATATTTGGACTGAGATCAGTTGATATATGGGCCTAAAATCACTAATCATTTCCACTTAAAAGATTCGATCCAACAATAACAAACGACAAAACAATAAGCAACAATGGGACGCATGGTGCTCGTCCAACAGTCCACCTGTTATTGCTGACATGCAGAACCGGGGCCCCCGCCCCGTTGCTTAAAGTTGGACCAAGCATAACTGAAATCAGTGACGTGTTTTCCTCTGCTCATTGATAGTGCCAGGCAATCAATCTGACAATCAGCGTGACCCACAGTCGAAAACTTTTCACCCTCTTGAATAACCCCACTCTGTCACGATTCCATTGGACCGTTCAATTCACACGCCGTTTTGGAGAGGTGAACTTGACCAAAGAAACTGAATTTTGCCTGCGGGAGACTGTGAAAGGCTGCTTTTGTCAGGATCCAGACACGCCCTTTAACCTCACTTTATGTCACACTCGTCGCTCCTTTCAGAAAACTGGACCGAGCAAGTGATCATGTTTAAGCTCAAGCAACTCTCTTTTGAAAATTCACTTTTCAGTTTTCACAAATCCCCGTCTCATTTTTTCCTTCTATCACTATTGAATTTTCTATTTTGCAACGTTCTAACACAACCCATATTAATCATCTTCGGTTCGGTCTGTTTCTATAGTTCCTTTAGTTCGTCGCCAATGGAGGCCCAACGGGTTCAAAGCCCACCTCTTCCAGATTCTGGTATTCTCTTTCTACATATGTATAGCAAATAGGAGTTAAAATTTGAGAATTTCAAGTTTTTTGTGGTTTGTTTAATTAATTTGAGCATGTTCTTAATTTTAGGTGGTGGTGCAAGTGGGACCCAGAAGAGGTCGGAGGAGAAGGGAGGGACGGTGAAGATAGAAGATGAGGAGGAGAAGAAGGAAGGATCACCGTCGATCAAGTTGGGCCTTGGGATTGATGGAAACATGTCGGAGAAACCCGTGATCGAACATGGAAAGTGTGCGTTTACGACAACACAGTTGCATGAGCTGCAATTACAAGCTCTTATCTTTAAGTACATAGCGGGTGGAATCCCAGTTCCTCTCAACCTTGTTATGCCCATTTGGAAAACCGTTGCTTCCTCCTTTGGCTCTGCTCATGGCGGTATTTATGAACAGTATCCAAGCTGTAAGCTTTCTTCTTTTTAACTTTTCTCTTGCCTAGAGTCAGGTTTTTTTTCTTTTTTTTTTTCATGGAATTTGAGGTGGGATTTTTTTATTGGTTTTCTTGTGTTTTCTGTTTGCTTTTTAGATATTTCTGTTTCCTTTTTCTGTCATGAATTTGTCAAATAATTTCATTCGGATTTTGTATCTCTTTTTTACTGGGGAGTTCAAAGATTATTAGTCTTAAAAATTGTTGGTTTTTTTTTTCTTTCTTTTTTTTTTTCATTTCTTTAAAGATAGTTATGTTCAATTCTCTGAAAGAAAAAAAGGAAATAAAAAAAAGATGTTTTGATGCTTGTTTGGCTTGGAATGTGAAAAGGTCTTGTGTTAATTGTTAGAAATTTCAATTATTCCTGGAAAATTGAGTCTTGTGCCTTCTTGAACTTTGAATTTGAGGTTCATTAAGGATTATACCACTTTGCCACTAAGAATTTCAACGTTAGTAAGTAGGAGTATAAAATGAATTCTGTCAATAATAGTTTAAATTTAGCTTGACAGATGTTTGAAGGGAGTTCTTTGTCAATACAATGATTTGGTTTCAGTAATGTGAATTTGGATGAAGAATTTGAGTACTGATTTCGCTTTTTTTGTTTCAGTTGTAGGAATCAGTCCTCAAGGATTTGATTATAGGAACATGATGGATCCTGAGCCAGGGAGGTGTAGAAGAACAGATGGGAAGAAATGGAGGTGCGGTAAGAATGTGATTCCTGATCAGAAGTACTGTGAGCAGCACATGCATAGGGGTTGTCGGCGTTCAAGAAAGCCTGTGGAACCTTCTCAAATTACTTTGCCTGATACAACGCTACTAAAAAGTTCAAATAAAGAATCAGAAAACTCAAAAAACCATTCAACTCCTGTAAGTGTTCTTCACATGAAGCCAACTTATTGTAAGACCAGCACCAGCCATGAGACCGCTGCTATGGATAGCAACAATGTATGCAGCAATAGAAACTCCATTTCTATCAATGCCACCACTAGTAGTACCATCATCGTCGCAACAAACAACGGCATCAAAAATAATAGCAAAAGGAACAAAAGCTCCCCAAATACTAGTGAGAGGGGTGAAGATAAACTCTCTGTTAGCAACAATAATATGATCATCAGAAGCAGCAAGGCTGGAAACAAAGCCGCTGTTGGTAATAGTATATCTCTCGGTGTTGGCTTTTCTCCAAAAAGCGTTCTTCAAGTTAGTCTCATTAAAGCTGAAATAATGCTCTTGTTATATCATTCTGTCACCCGTCTAAACCCTTCTGATTTGGCTATAAAAACAGATATGTTATACATCATTTAATCTATAAGCCTTTTGAGTTTGCAATTAAACTACATGGGTTCATGGTTTTTTCTTGTAGGAATCATTTGATGGTCCCCTTTGTTTGCCACTCTTATATGTTAGCATGTAATCTGTTAGCCAAAAGATTTTTAGAAGATAATTTTTTATAGAGAAGAACCTTTTTATGTTATTCTACCTTTTTTACTGTATCATTTCAGTTTTGGCAGTTCACACTTATAATATACATGCTCAAAAGTACTGGGCTACATGAAGTTTTTACCGTAACCATTGCTATTAGTGCTTTTATTATTTGAATAGAATCTGTTCTAATTACCTAGTGTTGTTATGCACATCCCTTGTAGGACCTTTTTTATGCTAAATAGAATGACTTGTTATTATTTTTCGGTGCTAGGCTGCAGCAGTTCCTGTGTTCACAAAAATGAGATAGGACTTGAACCAGGGAGGTGTAGGAGAACAGATGGGAAGAGATGGCGATGCAGCAGGGATGTTATTCCTGATCAGAAATATTGTGCCCGGCACATGCACAGAGGCGCAAGAAAGCAAGTGGAGGTTTCTCAGCCTGTTGCCATTCCCTCTATCGGTGATTGTCCACCTAGTAGATCAACAATAGCCAACAAAGCAGCTTGTGGAGTCCTTAGCACAAGCCTTTCTATGTCAATTCCAAGTCCTGGGCTCATTACACAAGATGAAAAGAGTATGAGCAGCAGCAGTGAGACTACCATCAGTGACACCACCATCACTGCGTTCGAGAATGGTAACTTCTCTTGATGTGATCTTATTTGGAAGGTTAAACTTTTATGAGTTTGGATCCAACTTTTATGCCAACTTGAGATGATTCAGGTGTTTCTTCATAAGACAAAACGAGAATATTAGGTGTCATTCTGCAGTGATCTATACTCATGAAGTTGGGGGAAGATGGGAAATTTTTTGATGTGATATCTGAAATCATTCTCATGTACCAATTGACTGGCCAATTGTTGAATTGAAAATCTTGTTAAGAAAAGAAAGGGTGCCTCATTTTGCGTTTCAGTTTGGGCAAAAACAGATGAGTTCCTTCATATCTGGCCTTGTAATAGGTTTATTGATATCACACCAATGTACTTAATTTCCCTGTTAGAAGATTTCTATATGCTATCTTTTACTGCAGTTGCCATTACTTACAATGAATCTAAGAGTTTGTAGTGTTTCTTGCGTCCATCCCAGTTTTGTAACAATTTGAAAGAATCTTGAAGCAACCCCTTAAGTTTCTTTAGATGGATACAAGAGAAGCAAAGAAAAAAAAAACTGATGTAATTTGGAGTTATAGTTTGAAAGGATATATATATATATATATATACATCAAAGTTAATGTTAGGAATGATTTCTAAATAATTTAATGAAATGTTAAATATAACATTTAAATTTTTAAAAAAAATTTAATATTGTATTTAAATTATGAATATATTAATTAATAAGGTAAAATTAATATGATAATATAGTTAGTTTCAAATGGTAAAGTTAAGATAATGTAGTTAATTTCAAATGAGAATCCCTAAAGAACATAGTTTTGTTCAAGTACTCGTATGTATCTTCCTTCAAATATTCTTCATGGTGAAGAAATCACTTGATATTGGTGCAAGGTCAGATTCCAATGTTAGTCTTCATCATGGTTTTTTCCTACATGAAAACAAAGCTGATTTTGTTCAATGCTTCTCGATCTTTTTGTTCAAACAGGATTTCACCATCAAACACTATTCCAAGTCGACTCCAGAAGAACACTTGCAAGGGATTCAAGCCCCAAGCCAGAAACCAGTTTCTGCAGTGCCCTTGGTTTTATTATAGGAACGACGAGTCATCATTCCAATCCCAACTCACAAACGCAACGCATATTCAGGGGCCTCATGTGGGTCTCAAAACGTGCTAAACAGCCCATGGATAAGCATTTTTATGGGCTTCATCAAGAAAGTGGACTTCCAATGAAGTGGTTAGTACTGCTATCTTGGGTTCTTGGTTGTTTGTTTATATTTTTGTTGGTAAGATAGAAAGAGTTTCATACTCGAATAGGTTTCACTGTGCACTATCTGATAAACTGGAGAAGTTGAGCAAATATCAATGGAAGAAGTTTGAGGAGGAAAATAGAGAGCAAATACTCCCCCCAATAGATCCTCGAGCCATTCAGGTTGTGTCCATTGCTAGGAAGATACTTGAAGCAACGGATAAAGGATTGGTGCTCCAACACCAGCACATTATCATTGCACAAACCTCTCAAAGTTCAAGGCTGCTTAACAAAAAAGCCTTGGCTATAGGTTTCATAACATTAACAAAAGTGTCTTTCCATAAAAACCTTGCCAAATACCCGCTTTGGTCTTCTACATTCACAGGCAAATTGTACTCTACTCTTGTAATATTTGACAGCCTAATGGCGTTACAAATGAAACTATTGGAAGTCCTACCTTTTGCAGGTACCTGTAGGATCTGCATTCTTAATTATCCAAGGGTGTTCCATGATCTTCTGAAGAGAGAGCCGTTTTGAGGAGTCCTTCACAAGAAGCTGCAAATAAGATTCAAGGACCCTATTCAGAATTAAAAATGTCAAATTGTACAATCATTCTTCATAAACAATGTCTATGTAAAGTAGTCGAGAGACTAGCAAGCATAGTCACCCGGCTGATGAGATTTTTAGCCTCCATTGAGACATCAGGAGTGGATGGGAAGCTCAGGTCAACTTTCATAATCCTGTATAGAACAAGCTTGATTCACTATCTTAATTATCACACCCATATTCCAATCCACATTAGATAAAAAAAAGCATAAACCACCATTCTACCTACCTCTTGAATGTGTCACTTTGACTCTCGGCCTCGAAAGGAGGAGCACCACAGAGGAACTCATAACAAAGGATGCCCAAAGTCCAATTATCAACTGCATAATCATGAGCTTTGTTTTCCACCATTTCTGGAGCTAAATAATCCAATGTTCCACACATTGTGTGTCTCTTGTTTTTTGACTGTACGGACCATCCAAAATCTGCAATCTTTAACCGGCCCTATAGATGCAGTCATAATGGAGTTACTTTCACTCGAACACAATTCGAGAACATATCAGAACATTAAACCCAATATTTAATTCCATATAAAAAAACCATGTTCGATCAGTACATATCCTAGAGACCAATTTTTACTTCTAAAAGGGATTTTCTCAATACTTCACAGGTATGCAAAAGAAGTGGATGCCAAATTGAGAAGAGAAAAAAAAATACTGCGGCTTACCTCATGATCAAGCAACAAATTTTCTGGCTTGATATCTCTGTGAATTACGTGTTTCTCATGACAATATGCCAACGCTTTTGTCAGACTTGCAATGTACTGAAAAAGTTTTCAGAATATAAATATAAAAACTCAAAAACTGTGAATAACTAGAAGCCGAAATCTTTGTATAATTCGAAAATAAACGAGAAAAAAACGATTAGATTGGGCCATTACCGTGGCAGCTTGCTTCTCACTGAGAAAACCATTTTTTCTAAGCTCCTTATAGAGCTCACCCCCATGAGCATACTCAAGAATCAAGAAAATACGTTCGCTATCATGAAACCAGCCGTAAAGGCGAAGTATATTAGGGTGGCGAAGACTGGTTTGAATTTCCATTTCTCTCCTCAACTGATGGTGGATCCTGTATTTCTCTATTTGTTCCTTGAATATGACTTTCAATGCCACTATGTATTTGCTCTACCAAAAAATTTGAATCCTTTCAGAAATGAAATAAAGAGAGAAGAGGTATGAATTCAATGAAAAAGAAAATGGGAAGAGAGGAAACGTATACCTTGACTTCTCTGGCGAGATAGACTCTACCGAATTTCCCTTTGCCCAAGGGTTTTCCGATCTCGAAGTCTTGTAGGGACCATTCTCGTTTTCGATTTCCTTCTCCTTCTTCTCTTTGAGAAATCATTCTCCTGATTCCCAGACGATGCCAAAAGGAAGGAGAAGCAGCGATTTGGGGGAAGATCGGGAATTTGAATTTTAGAACCCGCCGATGTCATTTGGGCCCAGAGTTCCCATAGGCCGAGGCTGCAGCCCAGATAACTTAAATTATATTAAAAAAATAATATATTAATTAATAAATTTATAATTTAAATAATATTACATTAAATACTTAACTGTAATTTAGAATTTATTATGTTAAACTCGGTTGCGTTGTTTTGAAGAATCTCCGGGAACAGAGTCCAGCAACCAGGGGCATTTTAGGCTTTTTGGGGCAACAAGCAACACGTCTGCTTTAAAATCGGTCTCAAAACCCAAGAAGCCTTTCGGTGTATGTCGTAGAGTAGAATAGATCCGGCTCGATGTTTTTCACCACTTTGGACACCATTGGGCTGTTCTATTCTCGGCTTACTTTCAGCAGGATCATGGGTCGCCGTGGAGATTTTGATAGTCCAACCTTGTCCGGGCTTACGGCAGGTTTAATTGGGACCATAATGAGCTCAGCATGAGGTTCAAAAACAAGGTAACTTTCCACCCATAGTTTCCCCCGGCCCTGAAGGGATTACATTTATTTATCCCCCTGTTTGTTCAACAGTAGTGATCAGTATGATGTAAGGATAAGGTTTTCTAGTTTTTTATGAACCATTATTGGTACTTCTTTTCAGTCATTAATTATTTTTTCCTCTATTTTTTTTCTTTTTTTTTTGTCTGGTTACAAAAGAGCTATCCTTCCTAATGTTTAAAATATTTTTTTTTAATTTAAATAAGTTACAAATAGAGTTAATGGTATTGTCGGTATGTGGAGTAAGTAACTTTATTACAAAAATAATCAAATTGATCCAATACAGGTCCATATATAATATAAATGTAAGGGGCATATTGCATGAAAGTTGGCATCTGGTGAGGTAGAGGGATTGGATTTTTCGAATGTATGTTGCATATGACCTCTAATTTACTCATAACTTTCAATAGAAAAATGGATATTATACAAACCGTCTTCTTGTTGATTTCATGTCTGTTACTCTTTGTCACCAATCAAAGATACCATATACAAAAAAATAAGATAAGAATATAAAATTTTAAATTAATTTATTTTTTATATAAAGATGGTTACAATCCACAGATTAAAAAAATTGTATAAATATTAAGATTTAGATCTTAAATTTATTGAATATTATTTTAAATATTATATAAATTAATTAACTTACTCTAAATTTTAAATTAAATATTTTAATATCGATGGCACTCTCTCTCTAAACTTCTCTCCATCTCCATTATCGACTTTAAAATTTTAAAAATCCAGGGCCGGGCGGGGCCCTGCAAGCCCCTTCGATCCGGCTTTCGTTATCGCCTCCTCAATTTTCTTTTCTCCTTTCCCACTTAATTTTATTTCACTCAGATTAAAGTGAACTAGTGAAGGGTCAATCACTAGATCTAGTAGGGGTAACATGCTACAATGAAGCAACATGATTTTCGTGTAGCGTGTTTCCTCCAAAACACGAGAATCGTATGAATACGTATATTTACTATAATGATCTCGTTTTCGACGTTGGCGCTACAGGAGGATATACGTCTCTTGTTCCTTTTTTAATGAAATAATCTTAGTGTTCACAAAGTCTTTTCCACCCCCTTGTCTTAATTAATTCAATAATGTTAATTATTCTTTCATGATAAGTTATTATAAGTGGAGTGGAGTTGTTGTCAGAATCATTTAAAATTTCTTTATTGGTCAAAGAATCGTTTAAAATTCAAACAAGTGATATCAACCTTCTAGTATATTTATATGACTAGAAACTTTATTGCAGAAAGATCATACACGAAATTTAATGACATATTGATAATACATAGAATTTGGCTTTTTTCTGGGTAATTTGAAAATGAAGGAATCCTCGATTCAAGTATATAAGTATATGGTTTGAATCATAGCTTTCAAATCAGCATTCACCAGGAAAAAATGGATTTTCTAACCACCATCTTCTTCTTGATAGCATTCCCACTACTCTTTCTTTCTCTAATCCTCTTTATTCTCGGTATCAGAATCTGCGCCGGCAAATCCATAAAAAATCCCAAGTATGCCCCAGTGAAGGGCACTGTTTTCAATCAGCTCTTACACTATAGCTATATCTACGACTACCAAACCCAGATTACCAAAAAACTGCCCACTTTTAGGTTACTTAGTTTCGGACGTAGTGAAATATACACCACCGATTCGCGAAATATAGAACACATATTGAAAACAAATTTTGACAAATATGCAAAGGGTAAATATCACCATGAAAATGTTTCAGATTATTGGGGACAAGGGATTTTTGCGGTGGATGGAGACAAGTGGCGGCAGCAGCGGAAGCTTGCGAGCTATGAGTTCTCAACAAGAAATCTTAGAGATTTTAGCTGCTCTGTGTTCAAAAGAAATGCTGCAAAATTGGTTAGAGCAGTTTCAAAGCTTGCAGTGTCTGGTCAAGTTATCGAATTTCAAGTGAGCAATGCGATATTATTTTTTTTCCTTTTAATTAACAAGTAAATTACACCACACATGATTTAAGTTAACAAAAGAAACGGCCAAATTTCTAGAGTTCCGCGTCTTTATGAGTGAGTAAAATCATGAAGTGTTTTTATTTAAGATAAAATTTAAATTAAAATTTTTAGGTGAAGTATGGAATTTTAAAAAAAAATGATTTAATAAAAATTTTAATAAAAAATTCAAACTGATAGATTAATAGAGTTTAATATGAAAATCAATAAAATATAAAAAAATAAAAATTTTGTTTATAATTCAAATTTAATCAATATTTATTCAATTATAAAAATTTATTAATATTTTTACTAAAAAATATATATATATAATTTATTAAATTTTGTACAATTGATTTATGTAACAAAATTTTTAATTTATCGATTTTTATTTTTTATTTTAATTTTCATTAAATTATTATTAATAAAAAAATTTATGAATTTTATCCAAAAAAAAATCTACATCTTTCCATTTCATGTGTATGAAGAAGTGCTCTGTTTATGTAGGATATGTTCATGAAATGCACTATGGAATCGATGTTTAAAATTGGGTTTGGAATAGATTTGAATTGCCTGGATTGGTCAAGTGAGGGGACTTTCTTTATCAAGGCTTTTGATGATGCCAATGAGTCGTTGGCCTTGCGTTTTGTTGATCCCATTTGGAAGCTTAAAAGGTATCTTAACATTGGTTCTGAAGCTTCCCTCAAGAAGAACATCAAAGCCGTTGATAATTTTATTCACAATATCATAAACACCAAGAGGAAACAGTTAGCGATGAACCCAGACGGGGTAAGTCGGATTTTGCTCTAAAATTCGTGGTTAATATTGTAATAATGTACACGAGTTCTTGTTTTGCGTTTGCTAAAAGTTGATTTTTTTTTTTTTTTTTGGCTTTTAGAATATAAAAGACGACATACTTTCAAGATTTTTAGCGGAGGGTGAAAAGAATCCAGAAACAATTACTGATCAATATTTAAGAGATATAATCTTGAGTTTCTTGTTCGCCGGCAAGGATACTAGTGCAAATACTTTGAGCTGGTTCTTCTACGTGCTCTGCAAGAATCCCTTGATACAAGAAAAGGTTGCACAAGAAGTGATGGACATCACTTGTAGCAAAGGAAATGATGCTAATTGTGATGATTTCATTACAAACATAACTGAAGCAACTCTGGACAAAATGCATTATCTTCATGCAACATTAACAGAGACCTTAAGGCTGTACCCTGTTGCTCCTGCGGTAAAATTATTCAGAAACCTCATGGAATTTTCTTTTCATGCTATAGTTTTATTACTTTATTACGTACATAATTCGATTTACCATATATATTATGTATTTACTAACCCATTTTTCAAAGCATTTATGTAGAAATTAGTATTTGAATATGTCTTCATGGCTCAACTTTTTCTCATTTATTGCATTTAAGGACGGAAGGAACGCACAAGTGGATGACATTCTTCCCGATGGGTACAAAGTCAAGAAGGGAGATGATGTGATCTATCTGTCCTATGCCATGGGTAGAATGACTTACATTTGGGGAGAGGATGCTGAGATTTTTCGACCAGAAAGATGGCTCAAGGACGGAGTGTTTCAATCCGAATCGCCTTTCAAATTCATATCATTTCATGTTCGAACTCTTTATTCTTAATTTTGTTAATGAATACATATATTTACGCATATAGTAATTTGCTAACTCTAATAATTTTGCTTTTGGTTTTGGCATTATTTCCAGGCGGGTCCTCGAATTTGTTTAGGCAAAGAATTTGCTTACCGACAAATGAAGATATTGGCAATTGCGCTAATTCGTTACTTCCGCTTCAAATTAGCTGATGATACGAAAGATGCAACTTATAGAGTAACATTCACTCTTCACATGAAAGGAGGCCTTCATCTTTATGCCGTTCCTAGAATAACTTAACCAACTTCACAAACATGAAAAATAAATTGTTCGTAGGAAAATGTTCAAACACTTGATGGTTGCAATAAGATTAGTTTCAAGTTTGTGTAGCATAAAAACTGGATTATTTAAATTCTAGTGGAGCTTGATTTGCTTCTTTAGTGATATGTTGAATTTGTAATACACTACGTCGATTTGTGAATTTAAAACTCAAGCCAAGTTGGACTTGTAATAGGCTTGGAATTACTGGTCGCACCATGGATCATGAGTCCTAATTGCTTATATCTTTCTTTAATTTTCCCGCTGCTGCAAAATTAACGTGGATTTTTTTATTTTTTCCGTTTCTGCCAACACTTGAGCCCTGGCCCGTAGCCCGATCGAGCATCAAGGCGGCCATGGTGGTGGCATGGCGTGCCACGGCTACAAGCATAGCTCACTTTGATCTCCTTTTTATCCTTATCAGGATATCCTCCCGTATTGTTTTGGCAGTTAGTTGACACTTGACAGTGATTGGGACTGGGACCCCAATCTCGCAACTTGTTATGGCAACGATACCTTGTTTCGATGAATCTATGCGAACCATATAAAAATTGTGACAATTAATGTGATTTACAAGACACCGGAATAATTAATAACTCCTGATGGGGAAATTGATCGTATTTTTTAGGCCTATATATTTTTACAAATTTAATTATTTTATTTTTATATAACTTTTTATTTTTAAAATTATTATTCTTCTTTTATGATTTTTTTATCTCATCAAATTTCATTAGATTAATTTTTTTAAAAATAAATTTAAATGTTAATATTTTTAAATGGTATGCTTTTAAATACTTTTGTTTTAAATTTTTTCAAAATTTTAAAAATTTTCATCCAAAATATTTCAAAATCTCCTCTTACCGTTCAAACAAGGACATATAAAACCTATAAATTAAAATATGTAATCCTTTTTGCCTTTTAAAAACAAAAAACGGCTTAAAACAACAATGCCGAGAGAATGAAATGTGCATGGGAGAAGCCAAATCGGAAAATTTTTTGCAAAATGCTAACTTATGCTTAACTTTTGAACTAACATAGTTGTTATCGTCAAAATACATGTGAATATATATATATATATACACTAATGCTATCTTTCATGCTTCAGTTTTAATTTTTTTGGCCAAACTTCATTTTTTAATTAATTAATTAATCATTAACATTATCTACAATTTTTTTGATGTACATTAGAGCATTAATATGGTTATCTTGAGTATATCTTTTGCTTTTGCCGCATAATATATATATATATATATATAATTTTTATTAAGCAATTGATAGAATCTGTAGAAAATAAAGAGAAGGAAGAGCAGAAAAGGCGAAGAAAAAGAGAGCAGAAAAGAGGGAAAGATTGATCAGAGAATTTTTCTTGTTTGTTTTCATTCCATGGGCGTGCTAAATAGCATGCTGCCAGCTAGTGCAAGTAACGGTTTTCTCGGCAACCATCTTGCTATTGGTTTTAGTTATCTAAGGTCATTCCTATTTGTAACTTCTCAAGCATTTTGACTTTCATCCCATTACAAAAATCTTTGATCCAAGCAGGTTCCTTCTGCTATGTTTGGAGCCTTGGCCTCTGGACTGTTTAGCCCTGTGCCACTGACTCAGGTTCATATCAGCAATTGTCTTCCACCCACTAAAGGCGAGAAACCATCCACACATTCCCTTCCAATTCAACAAACAGACAATATGGTAAAGGATAGTGATTTCTATTGTTTTATACCAATTTTTGTACTCCGACGGGTTCATAATGGTGTTTTTCCCCCAGGTCTTTTCTAGTGTTGAATGTAATGCTAATCCATTTTAAAATAAATAATGTGTGGTTTATGGAGTTTTTGATGTTCAATATTTGGTATGAAAATTGTTTAAAATTTTGAAGCAAGAAAATATGGTGATAGCAACTTTATATGAAAACTCATATTGATTCAATGGGAACCATACATGTGTAAATACTTCGTTTTCCAACAAAATGAGAAAGATCTTGATGATCAAACAGATTGTATTCTTGTGTAGATAGAAAATAAATGGAACATTGCTAATTCAACATTATATATCTATAGCTTATAACCTCTCAGGGTATCCATCAGAAAAAAAAATGGATATTTTACCCACCATATTCTTCTAGATATTGTTACATTGAAAGCTTAAGATCGTCATTCTCGAAATAAAAGTTTTTTGTTCGAATTCAATCAATAATCATTTATTAGGATCAAATCAAATGTATTATTTTTAATTATTTATTTTAAATTATCGGATATAGTATATTTTATCTGATTTAAGAGATTAAATAACTTATTTATTTTTAAATTTTTTGTCAAAAAAAAAAAACTCTTAAGTTTTATATTGAAATACACATTTAATTATTATTTTTACTTTAATGAATATATATTTATTCATATATCTAAGATCCTATAAAAATAATAAAAATATCTAAGACCCTATCATTAACAGAATCATTTAACGCCCATTGGACAAACAAACAATTGAAATTGAAGTGAAAAAAATGGTTTTGCATGGATAGACAACTAACATTGTAAAGAAATAAAATTACATGGAATATAAGTAACAAATAGTTTTTAGGGAATTAACATGGGCAGCCAGGAAACTCTTGTTAGAAGGTTAAAATATGTATAAAAATTTATATATTGATGATCTATTAAATATAAATTTTATTATTAATTAATATTAAAAATTTAATAAGTTGTTTTACTAAAAATTTTCAGCTCATTCAAAACCACAAAAGGAAATATCTTTCATTTTAGAGCAAACTGAAAAATCCTTTCAAAAATTAAAGTCAAACTCACGCGAAAGAAAACCGCCCTTTGATAACTTTGTATCCATTGTATCTATATCTATCTATTTATATATATATCTATCTATATATATATATGTATATATATATTTTGTGGGTGACTATATTTATTATTATAATATTAACACAATAAGGCTCCGCTAATCTCTTCACCTACTAACATTCATTGACCAGTTTCTCTGATCAATACACCAAAAGGACCTCCATTTCCATGGATTTCTCCAACCCAGTTACCTTGGCAGCTTTGGTTCTGATCCTGTCCCTTTTCTCTGTCAAGTTCTTCACAGCAAAACTGAGAGACAAGCGGAGAAAGAACAAGTACCATCCTGTTGGGGGTACGGTTTTTACCCAACTCCTCAACTTCAATAGATTGCATCATTATATGACTGATCTTGCAGGGAAGTATAGAACCTACAGGCTGCTTAGCCCCTTTCAGGAATGAGATTTATACCTCGGAACCAGCCAACGTTGAATATATACTCAAAACAAACTTCGAGAATTATGGCAAGGTATGTTACCAATGCTCATTTCTTACTTCAAAGTCACAAATTATTCGTTGCCCTCGAAAATTTTGAGTTCTTCCGGTGCTTGATTAGAAGAATTAGCTTACTTACTAATTAGACAGAGACACCCAGATTAAGTCAATTACGGTTCATTCAAATGCTGATGTGCAGCAGAGTAATTAGCACTATAATGAAAGGGCTTTTTAATAATCATATGGTTACCAAAAAGGATGAATTGTGGTTGTTATAGTTCTTCAATTCGCCTAATTTTCTGTGCAGGGTCAGTATAATTACAGCTTGCTAAGGGATTTATTAGGTGATGGAATTTTTACTGTCGATGGTGATAAGTGGCGTCAGCAGAGGAAGATATCAAGCTATGAATTCTCAACAAAGGTCTTGAGGGATTTTAGCAGTGTCGTTTTTCGGAAAAATGTGGCTAAACTTGCAAATATAGTGTCCGAGGCAGCAAATTCAAATGAGATAATGGATATTCAAGTAAGTTCACCTAATGGGAAAGATCAATGATATGATATGTAAAATGAATCTGTTATAACACAATATTCTGCAGGATTTGTTTATGAAATCGACTTTAGATTCAATATTCAAAGTTGCATTTGGAGTTGAACTGGACAGCATGTGTGGATCAAATGTAGAAGGCAAGGAGTTTACAACTGCTTTTGATGATTCAAGTGCTGCAATCCTTTTTCGATATGTTGATATCTTCTGGAAGATCAAGAAATTTCTGAATATTGGATCAGAAGCCACGCTAATAAAAAGTGTAAAAGTGGTTAATAATTTTGTGTATAAGCTGATCCATAACAAGATTGAGCAAATGCACAACTCAAAAGATGATTCTTCAGTAAGTGAACTAGAGCCACTTAAGCGTTTATAAGACCAGTTGAAGTAGAATTTTGAAATAATTGTATTCCATGGATCATGCAGATAAAAAAGGAAGACATTTTATCAAGATTTCTCCAAGTGAGTGACACTGATCCAACATACTTGCGAGATATAATTCTTAACTTCATAATTGCTGGCAAAGACACGACTGCAGCTGCTCTGTCATGGTTTATATACATGCTTTGCGAGCATCCTGATGTTCAAGAAAAGATTGCAAAAGAAGTGAAGGAAGCAACTAACATGAAGGAGGTTGAAGATTTTGCTGAATTTGCCGTTAGCATGAGCGAAGAAGCTTTAGAAAAAATGCACTATCTCCATGCAGCTATAACTGAAACTTTAAGGCTCTACCCTGCAGTTCCAGTGGTAAGGAAAGTTGCCTGGAATCCTGAATTCTCCCACGGAACTTCTTAATGCATGTCTGGAAAGCCATTCTGTAAACTCATAATGCATAAGAGGACTAGAAATTAACTTCCTTGCTATGTTCTGGGGTTTGCTTTGGTTTTCAGTATCTCTTCACTTCAATTGCAGGATGCAAAGATATGCTTGTCTGATGATACTCTACCAGATGGGTTCAGTGTGAGAAAGGGGATATGGTTTGTTATCAACCTTATGCAATGGGCAGAATGAAGTTCATTTGGGGTGATGATGCAGAGGAGTTCAGACCAGAGAGATGGCTTGATGAGGATGGCATGTTCCGACAAGAAAGCCCTTTCAAGTTCACAGCATTCCAGGTATGCAAAATATGTGTCAGCACTTTAGGAATTGTTCTATGCTTCAAGCGCTATTGTTTTGATTGACATTTGGTGTTAAGTAGCACCTCATAGACAAAAGGGAGAAAGAAAGCAGTTTAACAGCATTTGATATCTGGGTCTTGGCCCTCAAAATTCAAAGTTCTGATATTGCTTCACAAATGTGATTTTGCCGGCTGAAGAAGTGAAAATTCTGAACTTTGTTTTCTATTGGTTAACAGGCAGGTCCTCGAATTTGTCTGGGTAAGGAATTTGCTTATAGGCAGATGAAGATCTTCTCATCTGTTCTTATACGCTGCTTTGTGTTCAAATTGAGTGATGAGGATAGAACTGTCACCTACAGGACGATGATCAATCTTCATGTAGATGGGGGCCTTCATGTTCGTGCATTTCACAGAAGTCAGAGTTAACTGTCTTTGTTGCTTATTTGACCAAGGGTTTCATCTTTTGGCTCTGTTCTTTAATCCAGACACTTGCACGCTTTAAATATATGTGTATACGCGCGCACACACACACAAGTATAAATACTATGATGGTTCCTTACCAAGGAAACTTAAACCGTACTTTTGTCTGAAAAATTTGAGTTCAGGAAACTGCTAAATGAGTGAAACCTAAGTTGTGGAGACAGCGCTTGAAAAGTTCATCAAAATAGACCATACCAGAATGACTTGAGTTCAAACTGTTTGCTTGCATTTCTAGCAGATTATTCCAATGAATTGAAAATCGTGATGAATGCAAAGCTTTAGGAAATAGCAAATCAGTTCTTCTCCCCTGCCTTCTAGCTGGTTCTTCAGCTCCTCTTAACTCTAGAAGTGAGAAAGATTAAATTTCCTTGAATGCAAAACCTAATCATCTTAAGAACACTTATCAGTAGGAAATGAATCTCTGATGTTCTCAATTCACTTTAAGAAAAAGGTAAATAACCATATGCATGCTATGAGTTGATTATGGGATGTCTATTGTTACAATTCAACAAAAATTAAGGACATAAATTTTCTTTAACATTATTGGTTCGCACTCAACAGCAGGATGATCACTCATTCAAGTGGACACCGTATAGCTCAGGCAAGCAGAAACAAATTAACAATGCCAATTGAAGCGTACGCTTGAAGTAGAAATAGTCTTCAATGACTAATGTAGTCGCAGGAGGTAGTTGAGATGCCCCTGGTCTTGAGGTCCATCCTTTGCGATTCCTGTAGGCCTCAATAGCCTGTAACCTTACCCTCTCCTTGGAAGCATCTAGTAAGGTCTTGGATCCCTGTAAAAGAACAAACCCCAGTTTGAGAGGAAAAGTACTAGCATAATCTTTAATGTAAAATATCAAATGATAAAATATTACCTTGAGTACTGTAACCAACTTCAATGGAGCTTCAACCACATCTCCAAATTTTATGTTCTCTCTTCCAGGAAAGTCAAAGTTCTCTTCTGTTCTAGCAGTCTTATGCTTTTCCTTCTTTGCTTCAAAATACCTACACACGGATTAAAACCCGGTCAATTACATACAAAATGTAAGAGCAATGTAAGAAGGAAAAATCATAATTATTCGCAATTCAGCAGATAATTTATCATTTACAGTGTGGGATAATACACTCAGAGCAACAAAGTATTGTCTACCATGGTGCCAAACAACAAGGGCATAGAATGGTCATATAAAATACTGGCCTTTTTTTTTATTTTTTATTTTTACTTTTACATTTATGAACCACTCAGAAAAAATCTGGATTCCAGCCACAGCCCACAGGCACATAGCTTCACCTTCCTTTTAGAGCAACATTTCATGTTATGCAATCAAATAAATTTTATCAATATCCACAACAAAATGTACTAGACTAGATGTAATATCATCATAATTTTTTTGTTCAATACCATGCTAAATGCAGACAGATGCTACTCCTGAAACCAATTAATTGCCAATTAAGAAAGATTACTTTTTCTTGCGCTTCCGTCGTTTAGAAGTGCCGCCTAACTTATCCACTGTTGTTTCAAACCGGAGGTCGGTTACTTGCTTCCTTTTTCTTTTCTTGTTTTTCTTTCCATCTTCATTGTTCTGCATAGTTTCTTCCTCGCTATCTGAGTGTTGACGCTTATCTTCACTTCCATCTTTGATCTCATTAGCTTTTAACTTAATTCCATCTTTGATCTCATTGGCCCTTTGAACATTCTTATAAGTGCTCCACCAGTTAAACTTGCCGTTGCCTTTCCAAGTTGAAATAGAAATGGTGATCCCTGACCATCGGGAGTGTTTGGCTAACACTTGTGCTGCGCAATATGAGCTGCTGGCGCATTTGTGTCAACAATTATGACAGCATCTGAAGACGCATGAATAGCAGCTGCAGGCAAATTGCAGCGTTCAGGTCCTGGGACAGCATATGGCTTGACTTCTCTTGGGTTCCGAAAGATTGTCTGACATTAAATGTTAATAAGATTCAGTTTTAACATATTCATTTTCACAGAAAAGATTTTCATTATGGAAAGAAACTCATTAGATCACATGAGAAGTAATTGCAGATAAAGTTATATAACACTGCATCAATGTTAAAAACAGAAAGGCCAAAAAATTGGTACCTGCAAATGAAGAACCTCTGAAAGTGGCATCCTGTTCATGTGAGGGACAGTAAGAAGTTGGGATGGAGTTTGTCCAAAATAAGCAATCTGGTCTTGCGTGGCATGCTGTTGTACCTTTTATTTGTATACAAATGAAAGACATTAAAGAAGACTTTCAAAATAGAACAGAGATTAGAAAAAAAAAAATAGCAAATCAAACTTACTGGATCAGAGATCTTATCAATATCAACTGTCCCTTCATATGTAATGTAAAAGAACATGTTATTTGCCAATATAGCTTCTTTGCCTCGTTGCTTATACCTGAACATTCCAAATCACTCATGTAAATCCTGGTAAACTCTAGGTGGCTTTAAACAAGAATCTCCATGAGCAATTATATTATTAAAAAGAATATCATAGTGAAGATTACAAAGGAAAAGGAAACCGCAATTTTTTTTAGGAAAGGGGAGAAAGTAAAAGATACCCAAATATGAGGTCAATCCATTCATGCAAATGTGCAGATACATGCCCACTCTCAAGAGCCATCCAATGTTTGTGAATAAAATCAACTGGGTCTTGAGCCCATGGTTGGAGTTTGACAGAATCTGCATGTGAAAAAAAATAAGAACTCAATGCAACTGGAATTTATTTCTCATAAGACAAAGGAAAGAGGATACTCAGGTACATACCAAGCTTTCCTCCTAATTGTGTTGTTCCAAAGTCAATTGAATTTTCATTGGTTAACATCACAGGAAGGCAAAACAGCTCAGGAACCTAACATAAACAAAATAAAATAAATGCAAATGAAAGAAAAATTTCTAATAATCTATTGAAGTACAAATGCTGCCAAAATTTATAAACAAGATGAGACAAACAACAATGACAGGGTACAAGATAAAAGTGTGCTTCATTCTTTCCATATAGAAGTTTGAAGTTCTCATGCTAAAGATAAAACAAAAAACAATATCAATTCCTTCACATCACTCATGTCCTCAAGAACTTCATTCCAAGTAGCGAAAACATCTGAAAACAACCGGTCTGCGTGATCAAATTTTCCACCTTGCAGCTGAATTGAAAGAGTTGTAAATGGCTCAACTCTAACAAGAAAATACAGTACCTGCAAGAAAACACCAGGTACAACAAAGAAGTTATAATAAAGAATCTGAATTTATAGTTCAAACTATGCTAGCAAAATTCACCTGATTGACTAATTGCCACAAAAATAGAAATTTGGATTGAAAACAATCAAATAATTGAACACAAGAAAACTAAGTAAATGATTCCATGGACAGGTGTAAATAATGCTGAAAACTAAGTAAACAGTAGTACTACTTTTGATATGAAGTATGCAACCTAGTGAAATGGCTTTTGATATGAGGCATGCAACCTAGTGAAATGGCAGATACAGAATGCAACAATAAATTTCATGGAACCAGACCAACATTAAAGGACATAAATTAAAGCTTTTAGGCGCACAGCAAGATGGCAGATACAGAATGCAACAACAATTTCATGGAACCAGACCAACATTAAAGGACATAAACTACAGCTTTTAGGCGCACAGCAAGAACATGTTGGCCCTATAAAGGGGATTACTCAATGTTGCAGAACACAGTCTGTAAGGCTGACAGAAGAATAATAAATAGAAGATAGTAGAGTAAGTCATTTAATTTTTAATGACAATTTACTGAACAGGCAACAAAGACATGCACAAGTATACAAATATCCCCAGTACATATGAGGAAACAAACTAAAGAAGTCAACCCTGTTCATGAATTGCAAGTATACAACAGTGCCCATATTTCAAGCAATTTAGGTAACCACTATAAAAGTACAATCACAAATATTACACAGAATAGAAAACCTACAGTTCCAGCACTTGAATAATGTGAGCCATAATGGAACTTTGGGATGACTGGATCATCGAAGCTAGCATATCTCTCTTGGAATTTCTTCAACCGATCTGGATTTAATGCCCCTACAGGCTGCAAATACACGTGAAGTTATAATGGCAGAAAAGGAAAGTGCAGATATAAAATGCAGCAAGATTAAAGTCAAACCACCTTTGAAAGATCTCCGTAAGCTGAAGGATCAGCAAGATCCAAAATCTTTGAACCGTAGTCAGAAAGAATCCATGGGAATACTGGATACTGTACGTAAAAAAGAAAAGAAGCGACAGAGACAGAAAATGTAGCTTGGTTATATTATCACAACACTGCCCCCAAAAAAGAGTGATTAACCATCAAAATGCACTCTCATAAACAATCTAACTTGAGTTACGTCACTATAACTACGCCCAGCCAATGTATTTAGCTGCATTAAATATTCAAAATTGCTGATCTGCAGAGAGGTATAATTCTGTCAGTAATTATGCTACTTATTTATTACATGTGAATTATATATATACTGTAACTCATACCTCCCACCTAGCCCAGCGCTCCATTAACTGAGTTCTTTTCAGGAGCTGATCAGGTCGCTGCAGCAGAAAACAATATAATGTAAGTTCAGGAATGTCAATAGGAAATGAATCCTTGTAAACAGCTGCTAACATACTCTCCCTTAGGTACCTTATAATGAACCCAATTTTATAAACGTAAAATATCCATAAATTTTCCACTCTTCTCCTTTTAAATAAAAAAGATATTGTCGATGCGTGTAAATTCATGCACGCTAGGCCTCTCTAATTTAAAATTTTCCAAGCAAAGTGCAAACCTGAGTTGCAAGATAAATGTTGTTCAAATGAGGAGGTCGTGCTTGAACAATAGCTCGGTAGGCATTTCTTCGGCCTTCAGAACTCTGGATCAATTATTATTTTTTAATGAAAGAGAAAAAAAGAAACAAAAAATAAAGCGAACGTTTCAAGTAAGAGGTACATACAGTGGGTCAACAACCATCACAAGCATACCTCTTTTAATCACAAAGAAATAAATTTAGGCGTATCTAATAGGAACATACCCCGAAATCAAAGAAGAAGTTCGAACGGTCAACCATAAACAGCTCCAGGGCACTTCTTCTTAGGAGATATCTATGGTCAAGAAAAAACAGCAAATGAGGTGCAACAGCAGATGCTAAAGCAAAAGCAATATTGGGTGACAAAAAGTTAAAACTCTTCAAATGCAGCAACAAGAAATATCATGTTATGGATTTCTATGCAGAACAAATATCTCTCTACACTCCTGGTAATATTAATATAAGCAGTAAGCACACAGAGACGAGACCTGAAATTCACTCTATATTTTACTGGATTTTACAGTCAAAGAACATCCTGATCTGTAGGTCATACCCAACTATCGCAGTATAGTGTGGAGACATTCACATTAAAATGTTTAGAATATGGAGGAATTTCTAGACAACTGCAGGTTGTTAATAGGCACTATGAGATGCAGAAATAAAGGCCCCTAAAATGCTAGCGGACATCTTTTTCTCATTCCATGTCCTAGGCAAGCGTCTTGTTTCAAATATGTGCCTACCTGCATGTTAATATGAAATCAAGGATGGTTGGCAGTATCTAGACATATTTTGTCTGACAATGATGATCAATCCAACTACTTGGAATGTTAAATAACAAAGTTGTAGCTGAAAGCCAATAAGGATGCTCAAATTTTTTAAAAGCCGGTATGAACAAAAATGAGATTTTTCAACCAGAAAGATGGCTCAAGGACGGAGTTTTTCAATCCGAATCGCCTTTCAAATTCATATAATTTCATGTTCGTATTGTTTATTCTTAATTTTCTTAATGAATACATATAGTTATGCATATAGTAATTTGCTAACTTTAATAATTTTGCTTTTGGTTTTGGCATTATTTCCAGGCGGGTCTTCGAATGTGTTTAGGCAAGGAATTTGCTTATCGACAAATGAAGATATTCGCAATTGCACTAATTCACTACTTCCGCTTCAAATTAGCTTATGATACGAAAGATGCAACTTATAAAAGTAACATTCACCATTCACATGAAAAGAGGCTTTTATTTTTATGCCGTTCTTAGAATAACTTAACCCACTTCACAAACATGAAAAATAAATTGTTCGTAAGAAAATGTTCAACACTTGGTGGTTGAAATAAGATTAGTTCCAAGTTTGTGTAGCATAAAAGCTGGATTATTTAAATTCTAGTGGAGTTTGATTTGCTTCTTTAGTGACATGTTGAATTTGTAATACACTACATCGATTTGTGAATTTAAAACTCGAACCAAGTTGGACTCGTAATGGGCTTGGAATTAAGGGTTGGACCATGGATCATGAGTCCTAATTGCTTAGATCTTTCTTTAATTTTCCCGCTGACGTGGATTTTTTTTTTCCGTTTCTGCTAACACCTGAGCCCTGGCCCGTGGCCCCATCAATCACCAAGGCAGCCATTGTGGTGGTATGGCGTGCCACGGCTACAAGCATAGCTAACTTTGATCTCTTTTTTATCCTTTACGCCGCGTAGGAATCAGGATATCCTCCCGTAGGAGGATTGTTTTGGCAGTTAGTTGACACTTGACAGCGATTGGGACTGGGACCCCAATCTCGCAACTTGTTATGGCAACGATAACTTGTTTCGTTGAATCTATGTGAACCATATAAAAATTGTGACAATTAATGTGATTGACAAGACACCGGAATAATTAATAACATTTGATGGGATCATAGTTTTTCAGGTCTATATTTTTTTACAAATTTAATTATTTCATTTATATATAATTTTTCATTTTTAAAATTATTATTCTTCTTTTATGATTTTTTTATCTCATCAAATTTCATTAGATTAATTTTTTTAAAAAAATAAATTTAAATGTTAATATTTTTAAATGATATACTTTAAAATACTTTTATTTTAAATTTCTTCAAAATTTTAAAATTTTTCATCCAAAATATTTTAAAATCTCCTCTTACCTTAAGACAACAGCATATAAAGCCTATAAATTGACTATGTAATCCTTTTTACCATTTAAAAATAAACGACGACTTAAAACAACAATGCCGAGAGAATGAAATGTGCATGGGGGAAGCCAAATAGGAAAATTTTTTGCAAAATGTTAAGTCATGCTTAACTTTTGAACTAACATAATTGTTATGGTCAAAATACATGTGAATATATATATATATACACCCATACACGCTAATGCTCTCTTTCATGCTCCAATTTTAATTTTTTTGGCCAAACTTCATTTTTTAATTAATTAATCATTAACATTATCTATAATGTACAATAGAGCATTAGGATGGTTATCTTGAGTATATCTTTTGCTTTTGCCGCATAATATATATCCATATCTATAAAGTTCATATGGTCCTTATACATATATAGTTAAATAATCATAATTTTTATTGACCAATTGATAGAATCTGCAGAAAATAACAGAGTAGGAAGAGCAGAAAAGGCAAAGAAAGAGAGAGCAGAAAAGAGGGAAAGATTGATCAGAGAATTTTTCTTGTTTGTTTTCATTCCATGGGCGTGCTAAATGGCATGCTACCAGCTAGTACAAGTAACGGTTTTCCCGGCAACCATCTAGTTATTGGTTTTAGTTATCTAACTTCATTCCTATTTGTAACTTCTCAGGTTCATGTCAGCAATTTTCTTCCACACACTAAAGGCGAGAATCCATCCACACATTCTCTTCCAATTCAACAACCGTTCAATATGTTAAAGGATAGTGATTTCTATTGTTTTATACCAATTTTTTTTTTACTCCGATGGGTTCATAATGGTGCTTTCTCCCATGTCTTTTCTAGTGTTGATTGTAATGCTAATCCATTTTAAAATAAACAACGTGTGGATTATGGAGTTTTTGATGTTGCATATTTGGTATGATAATTGTCTAAAATTTTGAAGCAAGAAAATATGGTGATAGCAATTTTATATGAAAACTCATATTGATTCAATGGCAACCGTACACGTGTAAATACTTCGTTTTCCAATTAAATGAGAAAGATCTTGAAGATCAAACAGATTGGATTCTTGTGTAGATAGAAAATAAATGGAACATAGCTAATTCAACATTATATAGCTGTAGCTTATAACCTCTCAGGGTATTCATCAGAAAAAAAAATGGATATTCTATCCACCATATTCTTCTTGATATTGTTTCCAACACTCATTCTCTTTCTAATCTTCTCTTTTCTTGCAATCAAAATCTTCACCGGAAAATCCATCAATAATCCTGACTATCCACCGGTGAGGGGCAGTGTTTTCAACCAGCTTTTATATTTGAAGTATCTTTATGACTACCAAACCCAAGCTGCCAAGAAACAGCCTACTTACAGGCTACTTGCTTTTGCACAAAGTGAAGTATACACGACCGATACACGAAACGTAGAGCACATATTGAAGACCAACTTCGATAAATACACGAAGGGTAAATATAATCAAGAAATTTTGTCAGATTTTTTGGGACAAGGGATTTTTGCGGTGGATGGAGAGAAGTGGAGACAGCAGCGGAAGCTTGCGAGCTTTGAGTTCTCGACAAGAGTTCTTAGAGATTTTAGTTGCTCTGTTTTCAGAAAAAATGCCGCCAAACTGGTTAGAGCTATTTCAGAGCTGGCTGTGTCTGGTCAAGCTTTTGACATGCAAGTGAGCAAATTCGAATCTCAAACTCAAATGTTAAACTCTAATTAATACTCCATTTTTTCAACAGTCAAAAGAAAAAAAAAATCTGAAACCTGAAATCAAAGAATATATTGGATGAGAAACCAGATGGTTCAAGATAGTAAATGATTTTAATCCTAATAGAACTTAAAATTTTCGGTTTTTCATACTCATGACATGTCTCCTATTTGTAGAATATATTAATGAAATGCACGCTGGATTCGATGTTCAAAGTTGGGTTTGGCATAGATTTAAATTGCATGGATGGTTCAAGTAAAGAAGGGAATATATTTATGAAGGCTTTTGATGATGCCAATGAAATGGTGTACTGGCGCTATGTTGACCCTTTTTGGAAGCTCAAAAGGTCCCTTAACATTGGCTCTGAAGCCGCTCTCAAGAAGAATATCAAAGTCATTGATAATTTTGTTGACAATGTTATTAGCACCAAGAGGAAACTACAGGCCATGGAACGAGATTTGGTAAGTCATATTTTGATATAAATTTGTAGTTAATATTATTCTGATTTATTTTATGTAAATTAAAAAAAATTCTTTATGGTCAAATCTTATTGTGATATGGTGGGATTTGGGAGTCACAATATCCACTAGTTTTCAATGCGGAAATCTAATCATTATATAGCTTTTTTTATTGTATTTTTAAAATCAGTAATTCTCCTAAAAATACATATATAATATCAAAATAAATTAATCACAAACCTGTTTCCTAAACATATATAAACATGGGTAGTTTTTATTTTTTTTTGTTTCTAGAATGTCAAAGAAGATATACTTTCAAGATTTTTAGTGGAAAGCGAAAAGAATCCAAAAACAATGAATGACAAATACCTGAGGGAAATAATCCTCAACTTCATAATTGCCGGCAAAGACACTTCCGCGAGTACTTTGTCTTGGTTCTTCTATATGCTCAGCAAGAACCCTTTGATACAAGAAAAAATTGCACAAGAAGTGATGGACATCACTTGTGGTAAAGTAAATGATGACAATGTTGATGATTTCGTTACGACCACAACCGATGCAAACCTCGAGAAAATGCACTATCTTCATGCTGCAATAACAGAGACCTTAAGGCTGTACCCTGCAGTCCCCGTTGTAAGTTCCCTGAGATTTTTATTTTTTTTTGGTTGCTAATTTCAATATTGAGTTACTTGTCATACCACTATATTATCCAAACATTTTCCTTAGCATTTATGTAGAAAGTAGTTCTTTGAAACAAGTCCTAGCATTTTAATTGCTTCACTACCGGTGCTTCAAGGATGGAAGATGTGCAGAGGTGGATGACATGCTCCCCGATGGCCACAAGATCAAGAAAGGAGATGGAGTATACTACATGGCCTATGCCATGGGTAGAATGACTAACATTTGGGGAGAAGATGCTGACGATTTTCGACCAGAAAGATGGCTTAACAATGGAGTTTTCCAGCCTGAATCGCCTTTCAAATTCGTAGCATTTCATGTTAGTATTCTTTTTTCTACCATGCATGTAAATAATTGTCGATCCATTTTAATTTTTTTTTTCTTGGCTGCTGCATTATTTCAGGCAGGTCCTCGAATTTGCTTGGGCAAAGATTTTGCTTACCGGCAGATGAAGATACTTTCAATCGCCATTCTTCGCTTCTTTCGCTTAAAATTAGTTGATGATACGAAAATTGTAAATTACAGAACAATGCTCACGCTTCATATGAAGGAGGGCCTCCATCTTTACGCTGTTCCTAGGACAATTACATAATATTAATTATTAATGTAGTATTTTGTAATATTATGTAATTATATATATGGACACCTAATTTTATGAATTACAAGTTATATGAAGGAGGGTCTCCGTTCTCTAAAGAAATGATAGACATAAAATATCCTGAATTTTAAAATAGTCTATTTGATAATTACCTATTGAGTTAGTACCTTTGTCATTTATTATTATTATTGTATATTATATTTATAAGACTCTTTATAGTAAAATTTGATGAATTCAAATTTTAAAATATTATAAATTATTTAGATAATGATAAAAATAAATAATATAAAGTTTTTTAGTTCAATTGACAATTATCAAAATAAAAATTTTGAATTCGAGTCTAATCAATAATTATTTGATGAGATTTTTTTAAATGTACGATTTTTAATTATTTATTTTAAAATTTTTAATATAATACATCTTATTTTAATTTAAAAGATTAGGTAATCTATTTACTTTTGATTTTTTTTTTAAAGAAACTTTTAAATTTTATATTGATATGTATATTTAATAATTGTTTTTACTTTAATGAATATATATTTATTCATATATCTAAGACCTTATAAAAATAATAAAAATATCAAAGACCCTATCATTAACAAAATCATTTAGGGCAAACAAACAATTGAAATTGAAGTGAAAAAAATGGCTTTGCATGGATAAACAACTAAAATTGTAAAGAACTAAAAGTACAAGGAAAATAAGTAACAAATAAATTTTAGGGAATTAACATGCATGGCCAGGAAACTCTTGTTAAAAATTTGAAATATGTATAAAAATACATTGATAATATATTAAATATAAATTTTATTATTAATTAATTTTGGAAATTTAATAAGTTATTTTACTAAAAATTTTCAGCTCTTTTTATCATATATAAAATAATCTTTGTATGGCTAGCAAAGAGAAAGTTGGCTCTAATCTAATGGGATTATATCCTTGTTTAAGTCTTAACTGCTATTCCTTTTGTTTTGTTTAATATATAAGAGAAATTATTTTATTTGATACATTATCAATAAAATTTTTTAATTTCATAAGTGAGATTAATATGATGATAATTATTTTATTTTTTAATTATTTTTTTTAAATATCGATACATGTCACTCTGTTAACTTTACTTGTGAAATTAAAAAAATTATACTGATAATTTATTTAATAACTTCTATGCATATAAACTTAATTTAGGTAAAGAAATTATTTGATGCAATAATAATGAAATTTTTTAATTTCATAAACGGATTAAGATGATAATACATAATTTTTTTAAAAATAATTTTTTACTTTTTTAAATATACATTAAAGGACATGTGTCCAATTTTAATCATATTTGCAAAGTTAAAAAATTTTATTATCTGTATATTTAATAATTTTTTATAAAAATATATATTTTATTTTCTAAAAAAATACCTTTAATCCATAAGTCCGCCTATAGGACATTAGGTATGGATTTTCGAAAGAACCCAACTCGAATTGTTATGTTATTAATACAAATATTTTTATTTAAATTTAATTTTTAAATATATTTTAAAATAATTTTTAATATTTAATATTATTTCGACTAATTAACCAGTCTAATGAATTCAATAATGGGTTGAGCCAGACCTTGGTCCTTGGACATGGAATTACAAAATGTCAACTAAACCTAGACGAGCCCAATTAGGCCCATAAAGACCTCTATGACTCCACGAGTAACTTGATTCTTTTTAATTAATTAAGTCTTGCAAAAAAGGTGGGTCATTCAAAATCACAAAAAGAAGTCTTTCATTTTAGAACAAACTGAAAAATCCTTCAAATATTAAAGTAAAATTCACGTGAAAGAAAACCGCCCTTTAATGACTTTATATATCCATTATATCTATATCTATAGCTATGTATATATATATATATATATTTTTTTTTTTTTTGTGTGTATTATTATAATATTAATACAATAAGGCTTCGCTGATCCTTTAACTAACGAACATTCATTGGCCAGCTTCCCTGTAAATACACAAAAAAGGACCTCCATTTCCGAGCATTTCTCCAACCCAGTTACCTTGGCAGCTTTGGTTCTGATCCTTTCTCTTTTCTCTGTCAAGTTCTTCACAGCAAAACTGAGAGACAAGCGGAGAAAGAACAAGTACCATCCTGTTGGGGGTACGGTTTTTACCCAACTCCTCAACTTCAATAGATTGCATCTTATATGACTGATCTTGCAGGGAAGCATAGAACCTACAGGCTGCTTACCCATTTCAGGAATGAGATTTATACCTCGGAACCAGCCAACGTTGAATATATACTCAAAACAAACTTCGAGAATTATGGCAAGGTATGTTACCAATGCTCATTTCTTACTTCAAAGTCACAAATTATTCGTTGCCCTCGAAAATTTGAGCTCTTCCGGTGCTTGGTTAGAAGAATTAGCTTACTTACTAATTAGACAGAGACACTCAGACTAAGATTAAGTCAATTACAGTTCATTCAAATGCTGATGTGCTGCAAAGTAATTAGCGTTAGAAAAAATAAATGAGAAGATAAATAATAAAAAAAAATAGTTTTGAGACATGAAAAATATTTTTTTAAAGATAATTATGTCTTTAAAATACAATAAAATTTCAAACTCTCTAATCAAAAGCAGTAAAAATAATTATACTGAAAGACTTAATTATAATGAATGAACAAATATAAACTTCTATTCAAATGGTTATGAACTTTTATATAATCATGACTTTTATAAATAAAAATATATTTATATTTAAATAGTTAAAATCATTTGTTATATGATAATTATTTCTGTTCAAATATAATTATTTAAAATAAAAATAAAATTAATACAAATATTAATTTTATTTATCAATAATTAAATCTTTCTGTTCACTGTGAAATGCATCATATTTTAAATTACCAATAATCATCTACTAGTTTGAAATGTTGGTGCTTAATTTTTATATTTCACACAAATAAATATTATGAATATAAAAAATTATCTCTCGATTTAAACATTCAATTAACGTATATATCTTAGAATTCTAACGAAGTTGATAGTATCCGTAGATTAAATCTCAATTCTAGTGTTATAATTGAAGATATAACATACATAATACTTATTTATTTTTTTGTCTGAGGTTTATAACCGCTTTTAGCATTATTATGATCATGTGCTTATCTTATTAATAAACATTTATAAAAGAAATTTCTAATTCTTCTTGTTGAAGCGACACCACTTCTATGTTTATATTGGTAGAGTTTTCTATTATGTCTCTATTACTTTAGACATTTGAAACTCCATTAAGAGTATCAAACTCATCCTCCCTATGTAATGGATCACACTAATTTCTAAAATTTAAATAGATTTTATTAGTGTTTAACAGACACATAACAGTAATTTTTTTTTTCATTAAACTTTGTAATTAGAGGTTACTAATTCAAAGTTGAGTTTCCATTATTGATGTCTAATAGTAAAAATTTAAATCTATTCTACTTGTATTACTACTAAATAAATATTTTAGAATTCAGTTTTTTTTTATGTCACTTAAATTGAATCTATAATATAATCACTTCAGATTAATATATCCAAATTTTTCATTTTATATATTATTTATATGCTCTAAATATTGTTGCCTCATTTTTATTATTTTAAGAAATAGTTGATTTTGGTTGTGAGACCACAACCTTATATTTATTAATTTGAACCATTTTATTTTCATACTTTTATACATTTTTAGTACAATTGGTTAAATTTAACGAATAAACCAAACGATTTTAGTCATTTTAAAAAATTTTAAAGACCTTTTTATAACTTTAATAAATGTTTAAACTTATTAGCTTGTATAATTTGCTCATAAAATTATACTACAATCTTACAACACTATGGTGATAATTTTTATTTTTTTTTATTCTTATCACCGCCACTATGTGTAAATATGCATTCTTTTATTAAATAATATCTCATTCAATTATTAAAATATCATATATACTTAATCAAATTACCATTCCATTTATCTTTTCACTATTTTATGGTTTTTTTTTTTTTAATAAAAAGCTTCCAAATTTACCTTTATGAAAAATAACTAGCTGATATCTTAATATTTCAATAAAAGTTTTAAAACTTTTATATTTTAACTTAATATAAGAGTTTACATTAATAAGCAGATTTCAAATATAATCACATTTCTATAGTTTTCTTTTAAGACTTTTATATTAATTTATAAATATTTATATGAATCTATTTCATCATTGACACTATTAATAATTTTTTATTACCATGAACAAAACTATTTCCATTATCCAAATGGATCTACTAGCATTCTTTTTGCTATTATAAAAGTTTTTAAATTCATAAGATCTTTGAATCAATCATGGCTTCTAAAATAAATATACTTTAAAATTTTCACTATATAAAACTATAGATGATAAATCATTTATACAATCCATGAATTAGACCATATACATAACAAAAAATTACCATAACGTGATAAAGATTGTGGCATCAATTTTGGCTTATAGCTATTCTAAGCCAACCATAATAATCTACCTCATGCCTACAAATCATGTAGATTTGACTATTGAAGTTACCTTATTTATAATGATAGCTTTTAGTGAAAATCAATTATCTCAAATATTATTATGAGTTTTCAATGCATATTGTACTTGCCCAATGGCCAATTCCATGTTCATGATGATTGAAACCTCTAAATTTGATTTTAAAATTTTATGAAAACTTTATTTCTTTACCATTGTGTAGCTTAGATATCTCTGTTATTATCACTTTTAATTGGTCATAATATTTTTAGATATATAATAAATTCAAATTTTACTCATAGAACTAATATGCCGATAAACAATAAGAATCCATAGTATATTTAACTCCAATTTCAAATACTTTTACAATCATTTTTTGATCAATATGTTCATATCTAGATCACCATATCAATGCAAGTCATGAAACATGAATCCAAAGAATCATTTTCATAAAATAATATAAACAATAATTATAATATGAGTTATATTCATATTTCATGCAAAATTTTTTGATGAATTTGCATTAGTTGAATCATTGATTGGCTAATTCTAGGGCTTACGATTTTCACAAACCAATATTATTATTTAAACATATATGTTAATATGGTATATAACTAGTTATATCCTTACTATTAATGAAACTATTGAAAACCTAGGAAACTTGTTCACTTTTCATTTTAACTGCTTGCAAAAAGCTATTTTTTCGAGTACAAGAAGCAAAAATACATTCATTGTCTTTAACCAATAATGTATTAATTGGTTGATGGTATTCTATCTCCATAGTCTATATCTTTCTTATATGTATAAGAAAGAAAATTTCATCACATTCAGTTTATTTTTGTAATATATGGTAAACTGTACTAATATTCTTCATGCCATCACAAAATGGAATTAAACACATGTATGTATTGGTGTCTTTGGAACATTGAATTTTCATATTCTTTTTTAATTTATAAACATGCCTTATTAGACATTGATAACCATTATTCAAAATGCTAGAAACCAACAAATGCTTCAAAATTTTTTAATGACATGCTTTTTCATTTAATCAATATCCCATATGCAAAAAAGCAACAATGCTTTTTATTTTTAACCATTAAGTAACTTTTTGAAGGTTTTTTATGATTTTCATTTTGTGATTGTTCATAATAAAATTTTATTTTGTAAAACCACTTCTAGTGTAATACACCTAGCATGCAAAATATGTCACACTACTCATGTTTCTGATAATAATCATTATTTGGTTTATTATCCACCAATTAATTCATGAAACACCATATCTTAATAATAATTATTCACATATATTAATTTAATTTTAATTGGTTTTCATGAAAATTAAACACTAATCAAAATTAGAACCAATAATAAATTTTAAATATATATATATCAACATTTTATTTATAAATGACCAACAAAGATAGAATCATATAAATAGCTTAACTCAACTTATTATCTCAATTTTGGTGCCATGATTTAATAATAAAATTAATCCTATATCCAAATCTTATTTTCTGCGTATATTTTCTATTTGCATCTAATTTCTCATAGTAAATTTCTTTACCCATTTCTAATTATTTTCATAGAAACTGTGGGACAATTTGCTTATTCTATATATAACCAAGACATGATAATTAAACAATCGACCATTCCATTGGAACCTAATTTAATTCATTACTTGATAACAAGTAATAATTTTTTTTTGTCATAAATCAATTTGTCTTTTTCTTTTATGTTTTTAGGCTATTTTTCATCTTAGTTTTTATAAGCATCGATTTTTCAAATAAATATTATACAATTTATTAAATCCAATTGTGGAGTCAATTTCAGTATATACATAAACTTATGCAATGTAATCAATATTTTGCATATTGTTTTGACTTTACACACTAATGAAATAAATTGTTAACGTGTTTATCTCATTCAGTTAATATTTTTACCAACAATTATGTAAAAAATAAAATGCATGCCTCTAATGAAGATCTTTATGAAATTTAACATTTTAGACCATAGAAACATTAATCCTTTGACACTTTGAACCTTCTCTAATAGTGATATCCAAATCATGTCAATTTCCTTTTCTTATATTGTTCTCATGCGAAATATAAATTTCTCATAATTATCTTTAAATTGTTAAAAAAATAACTAAAAAAAGATAAATAATAGAAAAGAATTTTGATTTTAAGGTGTAAAAAATACTTTATTAAAGGCAATTATGCTTTTAGGATATAATAAAGTTTCAAACTCTTCAATTAGAAGTAATGAAAATAGTTATACTGAAAGATTTATTTATAATGAATACATAGACATAAACTTCTATTCAGATAGTTATGATTTTCTGTATAATCATAACTTTTATGAATAATAATTTATTTATATTTAAATAGTTATAACAATTTGTCATACGATAGTTATTTATATTCAAACATAATTATTTAAATATAAACAAAATTAATACAAAAGTTAATTTTATTCATTAATAATTAAATATTTCTATCTAATGTGGGATACACTATATTCTAAACTACCGACAATTAACACTATAATGAAAGGGCTTTTTAATATGATATGGTTACCAAAAAGGATGAATTGTGGTTTTTATAGTTCTTCAATTTGCCTAATTTTCTGTGCAGGGTCAGTATAATTACAGCTTGCTAAAGGATTTACTAGGTGATGGAATTTTTACCGTCGATGGCGATAAGTGGCGTCAGCAGAGGAAGGTATCAAGCTATGAGTTCTCAACAAAGGTCTTGAGGGATTTTAGCAGTGTTGTTTTTCGGAAAAAAGTGGCAAAACTTGCAACTATAGTGTCCGAGTCAGCAAATTCAAATGAGATAATGGATATTCAAGTAAGTAAACCTACTGGGAAAGATCAATGATATGATATATAAAATGAATCCGTTATAACACTATTCTGCAGGATTTGTTTATGAAATCGACTTTAGATTCAATATTCAAAGTTGCATTTGGAGTTGAACCGAACAGCATGTGTGGATCAAATGTAGAAGGCAAGGAGTTTACAACTGCTTTTGATGATTCAAGTGCTGCAATCCTTTTTCGATATGTTGATATCTTCTGGAAGATCAAGAAATTTCTGAATATTGGATCAGAAGCCACGCTAAAAAGAAGTGTAAAAGTGATTAATAATTTTGTGTATAAGCTGATCCATAACAAGATTGGGAAAAAACAACTCAAAAGATGATTCTTCAGTAAGTCAACTAGAGCCACTTGAGCGTTTATAAGACCTGTTGAAGTAGAATTTTGAAACAATTGCATTCCATGGATCATGCAGATAAAAAAGGAAGACATTTTATCAAGATTTCTCCAAGTGAGTGACACTGATCCAACATACTTGCGAGATATAAATCTTAACTTCATAATTGCCGGCAAAGACACGACCGCAGTTGCTCTGTCGTGGTTTATATACATGCTTTGCGAGCATCCTGATGTTCAAGAAAAGATTGCAAAAGAAGTGAAGGAAGCAACTAACATGAAGGAGGTTGAAGATTTTGCTGAATTTGCTATTAGCATGAGCGAAGAAGCTTTAGAAAAAATGCACTATCTCCATGCGGCTATAACAGAAACTTTAAGGCTCTACCCTTCAGTTCCAGTGGTAAGGAAATTTGCCTCGAATCCTGAATACTCCCACGGAACTTCTTAATGCATGTCTGGAAAACAATTCTGTGAACTCATAATGCATAAGAGGACTAGAAATTAGCTTCCTTGCTATGTTCTGGGGTTTGCTTTGGTTCTCACTATCTTTTCCCTTCAATTGCAGGATGCAAAGATATGCTTGTCTGATGATACTCTACCAGATGGGTTCAGTGTGAGGAAAGGGGATATGGTTTGTTATCAACCTTATGCAATGGGCAGAATGAAGTTCATTTGGGGTGATGATGCAGAGGAGTTCAGACCAGAGAGATGGCTTGATGAGGTTGGCATGTTCCGACAAGAGAGCCCTTTCAAGTTTACAGCATTCCAGGTATGCAAAATGTGTCAGCGCTTCAGGAATTGTTCTATGCTTCAAGCGCTATTGTTGTGATTGACATTTGGTGTAAAGTAACACCTCATAAAAAAAAAAGGGAGAAAGAAAGCAGTTTAACAGCATTTGATTTCTGGGCCTTGGCCCTCAAAATTCAAAGTTCTGATATTACTTCACAAGTGTGATTTTGCGGCCTGAAGAAGTGAGAATACTGAACTTTGTTTTCTATTGGTTAACAGGCGGGTCCTCCAATTTGTCTGGGTAAGGAATTTGCTCCTAGGCAGATGAAGATCTTCTCAGCTGTTCTTATACGCTGCTTTGTGTTTAAATTGAGTGACGAGAATAGAACTGTCACCTACAGGACGATGATCAATCTTCATGTAGATGGGGGCCTTCATGTTCGTGCATTTCACAGAAGTCAGAGTTAACTTGGTCTTCATTGCTTATTTGACCAAGGGTTTCATCTTTTGGCTCTGTTCTTTAATCCAGGCACTTGCACGCTTTAAATATTCGTGTATACTAGTGTGTGTGTGTGTGTGTTTATACACACAAGCATAAATAATACGATGGTTCCTTACCAAGGAAACTTGAACCGTACTTTTGTCTGAAAAATTTTGAGTTCAGAAAACTGCTAAATGAGTGAAACCTAAGTTGTTGAGACAACACTTGAAAAGTTCATCAAAATAGACCATACCTGAATGACCTGAGTTCAAATTCTTTGCTCGCATTTCTAGCAGAATATTCCAATGAATTGAAAATCGTGATGAATGCAAAACTTAGGAAATAGCAATTCAGTTCTTCTCCCCTGCCTTCTAGCAGGGTCTTCAGCTCCTCTTAACTCTAGAAGTGTGAAAGATTAAGTTTCCTTGAATGCAAAACTTAATCATCTTAATAACACTCATGAGTAGGAAATGAATCCTCTGATGTTCTAAATTCAATTTAAGAAAAAAGTAAATAGCCATATGCATGCTATGAGTTGATTATGGGATGTCTATTGTTACAATTCAACAAAAATTAAGGACATCAATTTTCTCCAACAAAATTGGTTCACACTAAACAGCAGGATAATCACTCATTCAAGTGGACACCATATAGCTCAGGCAAGCAGAAACAAATTAACAATGTCAATTGAAGCTTACACTCGAAATAGAAATAGTCTTCAATGACTATCATGTAGTCGCAGGAGGTAGTTGAGGTGCCCCTGGTCTTGAGGTCCATCCTTTGCGATTCCTGTAGGCCTCAATAGCCTGTAACCTTAGCCTCTCCTTGGAAGCATCTAGTAAGATCTTGGATCCCTGTAAAAGATAAAAACCCCTGTTTGAGAGAAGTACTAGCATAATCTTTAATGTAAATATCAAATGATAAAAGATTACCTTGGGTACTGTAACCAACTTCAATGGAGCTTCAACCACATCTCCAAATTTTATGTTCTCTCTTCCAGGAAAGTCCAAGTTCTCTTCTGTTCTAGCATTCTTATGCTTTTTCTTCTTTGCTTCAAAACACCTATACACAGATTAAAATCCGGTCAAGTACATGCAAAAAGTAAGAGTAATATAAGCAGGAAAAATCATACTTATTCACAATTCAGCAGATAATTTATCATTTACAATGTGGGATAATATACTCACAGCAACAAAGTATTGTCAACCACGGTGCCAAACAACAAGGGCATAGAGTATTCATATAAAATACTGGCCTTTTTTTTTTTTTCTGACTTTTACATTTATAAACCACTCAGAATAAAAATCTTGATCCCAGCCACCGCCCACAGGTACATAGCTTCATCTTCCGTTTAGAGCAACATTTTCATGTTATACAATCACATAAATTTGATCAAATACTAGACTAGATGTAATGTTATCATAAGTTTTTTTATTCAAAACCATGCTAAATGCAGACAGACGCCACTCCTGAAACCAATTAATTGCCAATTAAGATAGGAAAAAGAGAAGGAAAGATTACTTTTTCTTGCGTTCCCGTCGTTTAGAACTGCCGCCTAACTTATCCAACGTTGTTTCAAACCGGAGGTCGGTTACTTGCTTCCTCTTTCTTTTCTTGTTTTTCTTTCCATCTTTATTATTCTGCATAGTTTCTTCCTCGCTATCTGAGTGTTGATGCTTATCTTCACTTCCATCTTTGATCTCATTAGCTTTTAACTTAATTTCATTCTCCTTTGGGTCTTTCTGCGTAATAAATTACAGTACTTGAATTTAAATCAAGCAACTTCAGCTTAAAACAGAGCATAACCAGTTAATGATAATTACTTACTTTTTTCTCATTATCTCTGTCTGCTGCTTTTCGTTCCTTTTTTGAAACCTTTGCAGAATCTATAAAAAGAGCATGAAGCGATTAATAAGTGGAAAGAAAGAAAGGAAAAAACTAATAATAAAAAAAAAAAAGAAAGAAAAACCGATGAAAGGAACATTGAGAAGAATCGGCGGTGAAGGACATGATTTTGCGCAGTTTAGAAGGTAAAGCTTCGACTTGAGAGGGATCAGGAGGCGGCGGGAGTCTGGCAGGACCACCATGAGCAGCTCTATAATTCTTCTCTCTCCTCCTCCTTCCTTTGCCGCCCATGTTTTTTTCCCTTACAAATCTATAGAAACTGATAGAAGAGAACCCTAATTCTCACCGCACTGGTTTTTTTGATGATTCTCACTTGCAGACTGGTTCTCCAAGCGGTTACGTCGTGAGGGCGAGGCGGTGGGAGGACAACCCAGAAAAACCCCCCTCCTTCAAAATTATTAAACCCAAAATCGCCCAGAATAGCCCATACCCATTTTTCTCTAGGGCCGAAATTGGGCAGGGCAGTTTTAATCCTTTTTATTAATAATAAATTGTCCTTCTGAATTTTGTTAACTATTTTTGTTTTTTTCTAGAAAAGAGTTTAGTGTGTTAGGAAAAATAAATAATCTATGATATTATTTTTTTATTTTTCTATAAGAGATAATAATCTTATAAAAGAACGTATTTATAGTTAGAATTGAAACCGGAATACAAGAAAATTTAATTAATATATGAGAATTTAATTAAATAATAAGAAAATTTAAAACAATATTCTAACTAAACATTTGCATCCTTTTTCTAATGTTTTTCATTAACAATATTCTATTACTCTATGATTCTCAGAATTGGCAATTACACGCTTTTAGAAAATTGAATCAAATATATATATATATACATCAAACGAGTTTATATTTGATTGTTTTCTTTGAGACCGGAGTACTGGACTGGATCGTTACTTGAAAGAAGAAATTTCAAAAGGCGAAAGAAAGGAGGGAATTGGCTGTCCGATTTTCACTCTATTTAAAAATAATAATAATAATAATATGAAGATCTCAAGCCTCGGAGTAGCTCATCAATCACAATGGTAAGAAACTTACCTAATCAAATAAAAAAATCTGACTAACAACCCTGCCTTTAATCACATATAGGGTTGCTTCACTAGTGAATTACATACCTATATTTTACATACACGAAGGCAGCTGACGCCGTAAGTCGTGTTATTGACGTGATTTCTTCTTTCTCAAGGCAAACACCATGCTCTTATATTATTGACCCTGCTGGCATCAATGGTGCATCTTCTACAATCGTTCTCTAACTAATCAAAATTCAAAGGCTGAACTCAAGACTACGACTTTATAAGAGGGCTCAGCCCTTCACCTTCCCAACCAAGCTTAAGCATCTGATCCACCACTTTCAAGCTCAACTGTAGATATCAAGGCCGTAATAAGATTTAGTTCAACATCCAATAAAACAACATAAATTCAATGATTTTGGTTGACACTATATATTAAAATGTTCACGAGAAATAAATCAATAAGATGCTATCCATTGAGCAATGCCAAGACAGGAGAATGAGTAATTATTGATATTTAGACTAAATGATTGATGGAGAATCAAGAAATGGAAAAAAAAATTAGTCTAACTTACGGCTGGATCCGTGAAAATTATCAGCTGCTTATCTGCAGTTGACACCAGAAGATTTGTGTTATCCTTGTTCAAAGCAAGAGCTGTAATATCCTGTCCTTCTCCCAGTTGCAACACATGGAACAGCTGCAAATGAAAGATTTTAACCAGGTAACTGTTTCAGCAAAACGACATGTGTTCATGATGCGTGAGTGTCTACCATGCTCATTGCAATCAAAAGGTAAATAAATAAAAAAAAAAAGTGACGGAAAAGCAACCCATTCTTTCTCTAACACATATGTGAGACAAATGGGAAACTACAAAGTAGGCCTGCCATATTAAATGAAAATTTTCTTCTAAACATTGGGTGGCATGGCATAGAAAAGGAGAAATTCAAAGCAGTTCAGAACAACCCACCCCTACCCCAGAGATAGAAAGAGAGATTTAACCTCCCCAGGGCACCTTTGAATAGGTGGCACCTAAGAACAAAATTAATGCAAGCTGAAGCAACAAGTATGGCCGCACTCATTATGTACAGGAGGTGCAGATAGGGCACAATAGCATCTGTCTAAACATTTTCTTATACCTTCAGAGTATGCAGATCCAAAAAGCAAATTGAAGGTGATGGAATATCCAATCTGTTGCTTTCGCTGATTTCTTCTGAATCAAGATCAAAATCATCAACCACAGGTTTCTTCAAACTCAAGTCTCGGTTGTTATTGCACACTCCGTTGTTGCCCAAAGATGAGTTCACTCCAATTAAAGCACTCATACCATCCACAGAGATTTCCATGCAGCTGACACCACTCATGGAAGGAAGTTGCACTCTTGCAATTGAAACCCCATTGAGTGTGAATGTGCTGAGAGTATGTTGCAATTGATTCCACGTTAAAATGATTCCCTCAGATGAAAGGCAGACAGCATCAGCTTCCACGCTGGCAAACCGTCTCATCAAGCGACCCCTTCTTATGGAATGCAAGAGAACATCTGATGAACGGCCACATGAAACAACAATACCTAGGTCTGAACTGACACAGCAACAAAGAATTTCCCTGTGGTGACCACGAAGGACATGTACAGGACCTTCTATTTGACGCATCCTGCTTTTGTCTGCCAAGGTGTTAGCAAAAGTACCACTACTAGTTGAAGTTGGTGTGCCAGTGCCAGCGGTTGGTTCTGATGTGCTGCTTGAACGGGATGTAAATGCCCTATGTATCCTCCAAAGTAATACAGTAGTGTCCTGGGATCCAGTCACGAGATAGTTGCTATCTGGCGATAGAGCAAGGCAAGTGACAGGAGCACAGTGTCCAAAAGCAGTTTCTAGTGTTTTTGCTCCATCAGATGACAGTAGCTTGATACTGTTATCCGCATGTCCACCTAGTTAAAATCCAGAAACACATAAGGAGATACTATAACACAAGAAACGGAGATATTAATGCCGGCTGTTGGATTCAAATACACATGACTATATCTATGACACTGAAAATTGAGCTTCAAAATTATAAGTCCCTGGCTGCTACACATTTTATAAACAATGGTCGAGCAGCCAAGCAAAATTGAAAAGTAAAGGGGGTGCAGGAGCTATGATGGCAATTTCAAGAGAAGAAGGATAGTCAAATTACTTTATTCCATGATAGATCTGTAAATTATTCAACCTTTTTAAATATATTCCATTGGCCCACTAAGAAGTGATTGTTATATTTTTTTTTAACCAATTCTTCACCCTGAATATTTAAATTTGAACAGCATCAGCTGATCTTGTAAGTTCAGAAGATTAGACACTGAAACTGTCATCATCATCATAAAACGTAGTTGTCCAGCAGCATTCCACTGCTATGTCCTTTCCAAATAATGGCTACCAGGATCAAAGGAAGGATTCTATGTGATAAAGAAATAAAAGATTACATTTTCTGATTTTAAGGCTCATGTGTGAGTAAGTTTACCAGAGAAATCAAATTTACCTAAAATTTTAGTCAGCCAAACAATATTAGGAATTAATAGGTTACCTGTGATTATTTCTTTATCACATGTGATGGAAACAATAGATGAGCTTCTGATCCCAGATGAAGCAAATGCTAGTGCCTGGGGAAACTGCCACTCATCAGAACCAGAGCCAGCTGGCCCTTTGAACATTCTTATAAGTGCTCCACCAGCAGAACTTGCTGTTGCCTTTCCATGTTGAAATAGAAATGGTGATCCCTGACCATCGGGAGTGTTTGGCTGCCACTTGTGCTGCGCAATATGAGCTGCTGGCGCATTTGTGTCAACAATTATGACAGCATCTGAAGAAGCATGAATAGCAGCTGCAGGCAAATTGCAGCGTTCAGGTCCTGGGACAGCATATGGCTTGACTTCTCTTGGGTTCCGAAAGATTGTCTGACATTAAAAGTTAATAAGATTCAGTTTTAACATATTCATTTTCACAGAAAAGATTTTCATTATGGAAAGAAACTTATTAGATCACATGAGAAGTAATTGCAGATGAAAGTTATATAACACTGCATCAATTGTTAAAAACAGAAAGGCCGAAAAATTGGTACCTGCAAACGAAGAACCTCTGAAAGTGGCATCCTGTTCATGTGAGGGACAGTAAGAAGTTGGGATGGAGTTTGTCCAAAATAAGCAATCTGGTCTTGCGTAGCATGCTGTTGTACCTTTTATTTGTATACAAATGAAAGACAATAAAGAAGACTTTCCAGATAGAGCAGATAATAGGGAAAAAAAAAAAAAGCAAATCAAACTTACTGGATCAGAGATCTTATCAATATCAACCGTCCCTTCATATGTAATGTAAAAGAACATGTTATTTGCCAATATAGCTTCTTTGCCTCGTTGCTTATACCTAAACATTCCAATTCACTCATATAAATTCTGGTAAACTCTAGGTTGCTTTGAACAAGAATATCCATGAGCAATTATATTATTAAAAAGAATATCATAGGGAAGATTACAAAGGAAAAGGAAACCGCAATTTTTCTTTAGGAAAGGGGAGAAAGTAAAAGAAAATGTACCCAAATATGAGGTCAATCCATTCATGCAAATGTGCAGATACATGCTCACTCTCAAGAGCCATCCGATGTTTATGAATAAAATCAACTGGGTTTTGAGCCCATGGTGGGAGTTTGACAGAATCTGCATATTGAAAAAAAATAAGAACTCAATGCAACTGGAATTTATTTCTCATAAGACAAAGGAAAGAGGATACTCAGTTACATACCAAGCTTTCCTCCTAATTGTGTTGTTCCAAAGTCAATTGAATTTTCATTGGTTAACATCTCAGGAAGGTAAAACAGCTCGGGAACCTAACATAAACAAAATAAAATAAATGCAAATGAAAGAAAAAATTTCTGATAATCTATGGAAGTACAAATGCAGCCATAAGTTATAAACAAGATGAGACAAGCAACAATGACAGGGCACAAGATAAAAGTGTGCTTCATTCTTTCCATATGAGAAGTTTGAAGTTCTCATGCTAAAGATAAAACAAAAAACAATACCAATTCCTTCACATCACTCATGTCCTCAAGAACTCCATTCCAAGTAGCAGCAACATCTGAAAACATCCGGTCTGCGTGATCAAATTTTCCACCTTGCAGCTGAATTGAAAGAGTTGTAAATGGCTCAACTCTAACAAGATAATACAATATCTGCAAGAAAACACCAGATACAACAAAGAAGTTATAATAAAGAATCTGAATTTATAGTTCAAACTATGATAGCAAAATTCACCTGATGACTAATTGCCACAAAAATAGAAATTTGCATTGAAAACAATCAAATAATAGAACACAAGAAAACTAAGTAAATGATTCCAAGGACAGATGTAAATAATGCTGAAAACTAAGTAAACAGTAGTACTACTTTTGATATGAAGTATGCAACCTAGTGAAATGGCAGATACAGA